TAAATTTGTGACAGTGCCGCAGGGCTGTGGGCAGATTATTAAAGTCAGGCGTCTTAACCGAAAATCATTTAATGAAGGTATCTTGGAGTGGAAACCAACAGAATCCTGTGTCCTCACTTTTGATGGCCAGGTTCTACCTAAACGAGTTTTCTGCTGCTATAATTCTCTTCTTGTACAGCAATATATTTACCCCACCGTCCAATGTAGGAAATGCTGCAGGTTTGGTCATGTGGAGTCTATCTGCAGATCTAGGCCTAGATGCAACAAGTGCGGACATGAGCATCCCAGTAACGAATGTGAGGTAACAGAAACGGGGGCCTTTTGTGTCCTATGCTCTGGTGGTCACTTTGCCAACAGCAAGGCTTGCCCGGAGTATGGCAGGCAGAGGGCCATTAAGATCATGATGGCGGAAAAAAACATTTCCTATATGGAAGCAAATAAAGTGGTCCCTTCTACTACTCGCAGCTATGCTGATACCCTAAAGACCCCACAATTTACCCAATCCTCTCAGCCCACCCAACCCATCCAGTCTACCCAGACCCTTCGGTCTACCCAACCCCTTCAACAAACCCAGTCCTACCGAAAAACTGTTCTTCGTCAGCCTAAACCTCGCCCTACACTATCCAAATCCTATGATATAACTACACACCAATCTATCATTCACTCTCCCCAACCTTCTCAACCTAATGGTTGTGCTCTTAACTCATCACTCGAGACTTCTACTATTGACCTTATAATACAGCTTTTGACTTCTCTATTAACCTCCAATTTACCTCTATCTCAATCCCCTTCTAGTATACCGTCCAACGTTGCTAACACACTCATCAACTTATTAACCAACTTTAAAAATGGCATCCCAACAAGTATTCCTACAGTGGAATGTGAGGAGTGTGTTTCATAAGAAGCACGACCTCATATTCTTGTTGAATAAATACAAGCCTTTGGCTGTCTCTCTTGCTGAGACTTGGCTTCTACCGGGTCTCAACTTCCATGTTCCACATTTCAACATGCTTAGATGCGACAGGTCTGATGGTTACGGAGGTGCAGCCCTCCTTATAAATAACAGAGTCCCTCTATTACCCCTCCCCTTACCCCCATTCCCAGATGATATCAGCATTGTAGCAGCAAAAATCAGTAGTGTATCTGTGCTTTCCATCTACATTGCTCACCCCCAGCAGAGTTTCCTCCCTATATTGAGAGACTTGCTACAGAGCCTACGGAGCCCAATATTAGTTATGGGAGATTTCAACTGCCATCACTTTAGGTGGGGATCTGAGCACTGTGACAGTTTTGGCATTGGTTTGTTGGAGATCATTGATGATTTGAACCTCTGTGTTCTCAATAACGGCTGCTCCACTCGTAGAGTCCTCCCTGGTCAGAACAAAAGCTGTGTTGATTTGACCATTTGCTCCCTGGAAGTTGCTGCGGCTGCTTGCTGGCGGTGCACGGATTTGTCTCATGGTAGCGATCATTACCCAATATTATTATCCCTCCCTAGCTCAACTCATCTGGAAAAATCATGCCCTCCCCTCTTAAAATATAACCTCTCGGAAGCTGACTGGCTAAAATTCTCTCAAATCCTTGAATCCAATGTTCATACCCTCCCTAGATTTGACTACAGATCCCTATCCTACGATGATCGCGGCCATGTGACGGACTATTGTGATGCCTTTGTGGATGCAATTAGGTCAAGTGCGGACAGCTGCTTTAAAATTAAGAATTCCTGTAGGGGCAAAATTCCCTCACCCCCTTGGTGGGACAGTGAGTGTACTAATGCCATTAGGCTAAGAAAAGAGTCCGAAAGGAGATACAATGCTCACATGTCAACTCAAAATTTACTAAATTATCAAAATGTTTTTGCTTCTACCAAGCGACTCCTCCGACGCAAAAAGCGCATTGGTTGGATTAGCTTCTGCTCCTCTTTGTCCCCATCTACTCCATCTTCTATTGTGTGGAAGAACATAAATCGGTTCCGGTCTGGATGCTCTCCCTCAGTGTCTTCCTCTATCTCCACAGACACAGCTGAACTCCTCCTAGACAAAATTGCCCCCCCTTATGTCCCACATCTAGATGAAGTCTCCCAACCAAGTGTTCCACCTCAGTCGCTGGGTACTCACGATGAGCCTTTCTCCTTGGAGGAACTGAACATGGTTCTTCACAATGTGCGAGACTCTGCTCCTGGTATGGATGGTATCCCATACTCTTTTATAGCCAATGCTAGCTCTAGTACTAAATCCTACTTCCTAAACATTTTAAATTTTTGCTATATCAATGGTTGGGTCCCGGATAAGTGGAAGGTTCAAATAATTATTCCTATTTTGAAACCTGGCAAACATGCAGGAGACCCAAATAGCTTCAGACCAGTTGCTTTATCATCAGTTCTACCTAAATTACTTGAACACCTTATTAAAATTCGTCTTGAGTGGATTGTGGAATCAAGGAATCTACTACCTAATTATCAGTTTGGCTTCCGTAAAGGTCTTAGTACCATGGACAGTGTTGCGGTGTTGGTAACCGATATCCGCCTTTCTCTGTCGCAGGGTGCGTCCACAGTAACATCTTTTCTCGACATAACTGCAGCATATGACAATGTCCTACTACCCATTCTCAGGCAAAAACTGCACCAGCTGAGACTTCCGGTCAGAATGATCCATTGCATATGTGCAATGCTTGTGTCTCGAACTCTAGTCCTAAGGATCTTGGGAGAGGAGTTCGACCAGAGAAAGACGTGGAGGGGCTTGCCACAGGGCTCTGTACTGAGTCCTCTATTGTACAACCTGTACACTGCAGATATGGGCTCATGTTTAAACAATGATTGCAGTATACTACAATACGCCGACGATCTGGCATTGTATGTAACCAGCCATTCCATCCAAGATGCAGCAACATCGCTCACAACCTCCCTTAATTCTCTGTGGCGGTGGCTATCATCCCACGGCCTTAGCCTCTCTGCACAGAAGAGCGCAGTCGTTGTCTTTACCGGAAAGAAGACTCTGCCACAGATTGATGTCAAAGTACAGCTGCAGGAAATTCCTCTTGTTAATAAATTTAAATTCCTCGGGGTATATTTAGATTCTAAGTTGACTGGCGTTCATCACATTAACCATCTAGCCTCAAAATGTGAACGAACTATTCCAATTTTAAAGGCCCTGGCCGGAGTTTGGTGGGGAGCCCATCCATACACCATGAAGCTAGTGTACAATGCCTTAGTGCGCAGCATATTGGACTATGGTGTTTTCCTACTGGTTCCATGCAATAAAGGCGCATTAACAACTCTGGATAGGATCCAATCTAGGTGTCTTAGAATTATTACTGGTTGCATGAAGTCATCCCCCATTAACGCATTACAGGCTGAATGCTCAGATCCACCTCTAAAATTAAGAAGACAATATTTTGCTTCATGCTTTGTTTTGAAATTTATTTGTAAATTGACCCACCCTCTTCTTCCAAAAATTACTGACTTAGACATAACTTGCAATACCTCTAAGTACTGGGCACATAAAGAAATTCCATTGATTCTGCAATCCTTTCGCTACTACTTTCCCTTTACGAATTTAACGGTAAAATTTGACAAACTTCCTCTTTTTTCATTTGAATACAGTATACTTAGTTTTAAGCCGAATGTGTTCTTGGATGTGGGAATTCCTAAGGGATCTGCCTCGGCTGTTTCCACCTTTAACGCTTACGTGGATGACCACTTGGTAGGGTTTGAGAGGTTTTTTACAGACGCATCCAAACTGTCAAGCGATAGTTACACTGGAGCTGCGGTGTACTACCAAAACTCCAAAATCATTTTGCAGTTTAAGTGCCCAGAAGAGTCTTCTGTATTTACGGGCGAGTGTGTCGCGGTATTGGAGGCATGCCTATATGTTGAATCGCACAACATCTATAAGGCTGCTATATTTACTGATTCTCTTAGCTGTCTTAAAGCCCTGCTAAAAGATCCATTCCATAGCAAACTCCATAGCCCCTTGATCTTAGAAATCAAAAAAAAGCCTCTTCAATTGCTCCAATAGTGACAAATTGGTCCAGTTGGTATGGGTTCCCAGCCATAGTGGCATTATGGGCAATGAGTGTGCAGACTCGTTAGCCAGAAGTGCTGCTACTTCCTCAATGGCAGACCAGAAACATATGGTTCACCATCACTACGACCTCCTAAGACTGCCTCAAAGAGAGTTGAGGACATCCTGGCAGGCGGAATGGAACAGGTCCGCACAATTTAAAGGCCGGTACTATTTTTCAGTACAGCCACGCATTCCTCCGAAGCCTTGGTTTTTTAATTTTAAAAAGGTGTCCAAACAAGTTGTCTCCACCATATGTAGGCTTCGTATTGGCCACTGCAGCTCACCTGTCTTCTTGAATAAAATTCGGGTACGGGACTCGTCTCTATGCGAGTGTGGCCTGGATGAAGGCAACCTGGACCACATCTTCTTTAATTGTAGTAAAAATAATCCATCCTTAGACCTTTATTCATACCTAACTAAATTGAAAATCCCCCTCCCTATTAACTTTGCATCCCTACTTACCTTTTCCTCCCCAAAACTTTTACAAGCCCTGATGTTTTTCATCCGCTGCAATGGCATCAAACTTTGACCTTACCTAATTTAATGTTGTGATGTTTATTTGTGTTTGTCTACTAATTATCTCTTTATATATTACATACATACTTTATTTATTCGTATTTGTCTGTTTGTTTCAGTGTACTAACCACAATCAAAAGACCCATATGCAGTCATCCTGCTAATTTTGGAAAACTTAATGGTTGCAAATTCCTTTTCTCTTATGTATTTCTCTTAACCCACGTATTTCCATCGCACTTGACATTGGCAGAATTGTCGACATCGGCACAGTTTGCCATATCATAAGAAGAAGAAGAAGATTAAACTCGTATCTTTTATAAGAGATTATTCGTGTACATAATTTAAAATCACGTCACCGTTGAGAAGTTGTTCAAATACCTTTTTATTAATGTTCAATCAAAAACAATAATAAATACTCACCTTGTTACGAAAATATGTTTCCAAATACAAAACTGGCACTTATATCATAATATAATTTTAGTTTACACACACACGACGTTCCGAGAAGTTTGACAGGTTTTTTTTTAAATATTTTTCCTCGTCCGCGGCAAGGTCGACGCGGGGTCTCGGCGCGCACTGACCGCGAGATGCGAACACAATATGTTATAAGACCATTATGGCTGTTATTCTGCAATATCATTAGTTGGATATAATTTAATATATTTTGTAATTAGTTTATTGACTGACGAAGTCGTAATACAGACGATGGGTAGTAATTTTTACGTTATAATTCTTTTGTTCATGTTTTAATATTAACTGTTGTAAACACGTACTAACTGTAGATCTAATTCACAACTGATATAAGGGTAATTTTCCTTACCTAAGAGACTGCATTTTGTATGTTGTTTTAAGCTTTATTGTATTGATGACCTCTCAGCGTCCTTAATCTGGTAAGGTAGCCGTTGCTTCTAGTATCACTCATAGTGGTCAACTAATACACTTTTCTAGAAAGTAATTAACTCCCACCGAATGATATCATGTCAAATCGCGTACGTTGGTTGGAATAAAAATGTTGAAATTCCCTGGAGAATCCCAATAATCTCTTTTTGACGATTTCCCGACCCTAGTGACCCTAGTGAGCGCAGACACTTGGTACAGTATCTTGCAACCCTTTGAGGTCCATCAGTACGTGGATCGCTAGGACAAGGGAGCCATGTCCAGTAATATCTCCAGTTGGACTTCGCAGCTGACCCTTATAACACCAGACTTCAAAGACCACTATACCACCACATATGGACTGTAATTAGGCTAAGAACTAATGATTTATGGGAGCAGGTTCACGTAGAAAACCATGTGCTATACTGAAAGACTAAAATCTCTCCTCCTATGCTTTATTGAGTGAGTTATATACAGCAGAATGAGTACTGAGTGAGGAAGTGAGTGATTGAGCTCACTTAAATTGCATTCGCAGATTCATAGGCAGAAATCTGTACTGAAAAAGACTAGAATACGCTACATTGTGCATACTAACTACATATAAATGAAAAATGAAGTTTATTTAACATCATTTTTACTCGATTTACTTTGCTGCGGGCGAATTCGGTAGCAAAATGTGGTTCGTAATAATTTTACAACGAATTGTTTTAGAATTAACTCCACCAAATAGCCACACAGAATAAAAACTTAAAACCTGTTTTCATGTAAAGAAACTAGTATCTAGTATTTCATGTTTGTTGACTTCGACGTGCAAATTTAATTTTGGTTTGAAACATTAAAACATTTTTTCCTTATATTTTGGAGTTTTGAATTCTTATGACACTCAGCAGAACGGAAGAAGAAACGGAACATTTTCCACTACTTAAACCCACCATTTCTTACTTTAATATATTTCTTTTTTTTACTTAAGAACTACAAGTAGAAGAACCTGTGAGTAAAGATGGTTTTAGCGTTCTGTAGTCCTAACAAGAAGGCGTTATAGGTTCGCCAAGTCCATTTGTCATTTTTATTGGTATTGAGGGCAAGCGAGCAAATGGACAATGGCTACCGTTGCCCAAGGACACCTTGGGTGCCTTGCCTCCCTATAAGTGCCCTCCCAGAGTCATTGGACCTCGAGTACCTCATAAAAATGTGCGCGCTTCCCTTTCTTGTTTTTTATGAGAACGGGGCAAACGAGCAGACGGGTCACCTGATGGAAAACGACCACCGCCACCTATGAACACCTGCAACTCAGGAGTCGCAAGCGCGTTGCCGGCCTTTGAGGAAGTTTGATTTCTTTTTACACACTCTCATCCTTTTTCTCGAAATTAATTCAACAGATTGCAGAAAAGCAAAAGGAAAGATGTAACAAAAGTCCAAGTTTTAAACCTTCGGGCGTCACCCATGGACACAATCAATCAAATCAATCATGGACGCAACCAGAGGAAATTTAACTCGACTGGTTTACAAGTAGCCACTTACAAGTTTGAATATCCACCTTATACTCCTACTGCTACCTTTATCACCCAATCATCAGGTCAGCTACAAGATTCTAAATCATAGAATTAAGTTAAGCATTTAATTGGATCCATTTCACCGAGTGTAAATCCAGAGGTCGTGGGTTCCATTACCATCCAGGATAAATATTGTGTGATGAGCATAGGTCATTGATTCTGCATCTGAGTGTAATTTATATATGTTATGTAGGTATTTATTAATATATAAGTATGTATATCGGCAGTCTCGTTACTATAGTACAGGCTCTGCTTAGTTTGGGATAGAACTAGTGTGTGCAATGTTGAGTAAGGTTATAAAATAAAACTCTTAGGTTATGAACTAGCTATGTACGGCAGGATTACTGCTCATTTCAAGTACAAAAACCAACATTTGAAGAATGTCCCTATTTAATACACTTTGATTTTCTTAAATTAAAAATAAAACTGAAGTATGTGTGTGGTATTTACATTTATTAAAGATAAACGGTTAAAATGACGTGTGTATTTCGGAGATAACCGAATAGTTTAGACCTGGAATTATCTTAAATAGCATTCTCGTTACACACACTGGAGTAACATTGTATCGATACAATCTTACTCCAGTGTGTGTAACGAGAATGAAAAGAAACATATATCTTTTTAAGCAATATGTTTCTTTATAGATTTCTACAAATACATTAAAAATAGTTGTATGTTGATTGTATATATTAAAACGTAAGTCTGTTACTATCATTGAACTAAATAGTATAGGTTTTAGGGTCATATCCTTTCGCGATGACTTTTTGATCGATCCAGTCTCGTAAATAGGCGACGTCGGCGTAAACGCCGGGTTGGCCTTCTTCACCGCATCCGATACCCCAGGCGACTATACCACTCTGCATATAACGTCCTTTGTGTTGCTGCAAATGAAACATTATTAAAAAAAAAACAAAAATTACCAACATTCAAGTTACATGGTTAATCATAACTGATAATTTAATAGCATGGCACTTTACAATGCTGTGGTGCCAAACATTTTCCTTCCTTCTAGAGAATTTAGCTAGTGGGTTAAGCTGTTACTTTGCCGCTTCCTACTGCGCTTAGTGTTGTGGCTTCGATCTCCATATGGGACAATATTTTGTTGGAGCGTACTACTTCCTTCCTTCCGGCACCGCGTTTGTGACTCCTGAGTTGCAGGCGTTCATGGGAGGCGGCAGTCACTTTCTATTAGGTGATCCGTAAGCTCGTTTGCATTCTCTTCTATAAAAAAAAATCTACAAATTGTTGTTCTGAGTCCGGGCGTTCTTTGTGTCCGTTTCATGAATGTTGGTAAAGTTCCCTGCTACACAGCATATATTCCCAGTGCGGGAATTGCCTTCAAAATGTCTGATCCGTTTAGAATAGGATGCTGCTCTTACCTCGATAGGACAAGAAAGAGGAGAACCACCATCTCCCTTGCAGGCATCCTTGTCCTTCTCCCCGCCAGCACACATGAAGGAAGCGTGCAGCTTGAAATATTTGCTAAGGCGGGTCTTGCGAAGAGCTGCTTGACAGGCGTTTCGCTCCACCACAGGAACATCGATCTGTAATATAGGGATTCTTTATGCTTGTACTTTGAAGACGATTCGACAGTTATTTTTAGTTTTTAGTTGTAAGAATTTGTTCGGATTACGGTATGATTACTATGGGAATCTGCAAATCTAGCGACGCAAAGGCTACGCTTGTGGGAACCTCATTCATTGGGTAAATAAAATGGAAAAATTAGCTTATTAAAGGTTTTCTGTGAAGGATTGCTCTCACTACGGCTGATGAGTGCCGATGCATGGTTTTCTTACGAGTTGATTGAGATAGACCAATTATTTCATTTCAGTGACAAATATATTTATAAGATCGATTATTAGATCTTTCTTTCAGCTTCCTGCCCCTGCCCTACCTGTATTCAACTTTTTTATGTTTATTTTTTTATGACCAACCGCTCTTTTTGACGCAGACGTGAGCTGTTAGTGAACTGTTAGTGAACGGTCTAGTGGTTAGTGAACTTGACTACTCAGCCAGAGGACGTAGGTTCGATTCCCACAGAAGATGATCATTTGTTCATCATCACCATCCGTGCAGTCAATTGCTGATTGTTTATCTCACCTTCTTCAACAGAGTCTGGTAACGAGAATCTTTTCCAAATTTGTCTTTTCCCCAGCCAGTGGCGAAGCATCTGGTGCCGGCGGCAGTTATCAGTTTTGGCGGTGGCAAACATACTAGCCCGATGTGCTTCGCCAGTTCCACTGGCTTCTTAAGGAACAAGAGGGCTACATCGAAGAATAGGGTCCCTAAAAACCAGACAAAAAAGTCATGAATATATTAAAATAATGAATTTTACATTACATAGTGATATCTAGACCGTAACGAAGCTTAACTTGTGCTATCATCATCTTCAACAGCCTCTGGCAGTCCACTGCTGTACATATACCTCTCTTTAGAAATGAGGTTACTGGTGTTAGAAGTTGAAAAAAAAAAACTAACAGGTATAAAGATTTACCACAATTTCAAGGTATTTATTTTAAGTAGTTTTTTTACGAGAAGAAAAAAATATCTATAAACCTACTGTAAAAAGGTATTGTTTAAGGGCGGATTACAAAATGGAAGCAAAAGTACACGGCCTGGCCTTACGGTCTCTGTGTGACCCTGACTGCTAAGCCGGAGGTCGTGGGTTCGATTCCTACCCAGGCCAAATAATTGTGTGATGAGTATGATCATTTAGTATGTATCTGGGTTTTAACTTATCTGTAATATATTATAATAGTTTTGCGCATCTGATATTCTCACTTACTCTGTGAAAAGTAAGAAGAACAAAGAATAAAACCCGCGTTCCTACCTGGATGGAAATTGGCGTGTATCTCCTTAGAGATGACATCCCTTTCCTGATGGGGATAGATCTCTTTAGTAGTCTGTGTATCCCACTCTCCAGCTCTGATCTTGAATGAATTGTTTGCGGCGACGTAATGTGCCGCTGACAAAACCACGTTGGGTGTTATCAGAGAGCCACCACCCACGTACAGGCTCAGCTTGGTACCAGTAGGGTCATCTTCATCAACAAGTTCAACTCTGATAAGGAAATAGAAAATTAATTAATACTAATAGTTTATTACCTAATTATAATCCTATTTATTTGGGGGTTCCTTCTTCCTCTACTATTCGTCACTTCACTGCTTATTTCTATTGTATTTATAGCCATACACTCTTTTACTCAGTCGATCCATTTTTTGGTCGTAGTCGAACCTTATTATCCGTCAACTTCCATAGATAACACTTTGTTTATATTTTATAAGTTAAGTACTTACAATAGTAAATATTTATTCAGATTGTGATGGATCAACCATTTTTAATAATAAGGGTTAAAGTATAAAATTGAAGTTGTGTAGTAATACATACTCGTACTTAGAATTGACATAAAACCTTCATGGTGTGAGATTTTCGTGTGATTTTTTTACCCAATTAACGAGTAGTTACTTCAATAGTGCAATATATTATGGTGGCGTACTGGGAACGTGCTCTTGATGTTCATTCTTAACTCATTCAGCTAAAAAGTGCTATGAAAGCCGTTTATAATTGACTTAGTCGCGTATCCCTCAGACATTTGTAGGAAGAATCATCGTTTGTGATCTCCCTAAGTCCCAAAAATTAGGATACTACTCTACGAAGAAAATTCTTTGTATCCCTTTTTAAATAAATATGGCGCACTTTTTTATATTTGGAATACTTAATATTTACACGGAGAAGAAGAGTACAAAGGTAATACTTTAAACAATATGCGCCATAAATGTTACAAATACGTTAAAACGACTACATAAAAGTATCTTTATAAGTCAATAAGTCTATATAATGACAGTACAAATTAAACTGGGCAATGAAACAAGGCACATTAAACGGTTATCACAAACTGGTTAAATTCAACTTACCTCAGAACTGCAACCATCCAAGGGAACTCTCCGTAATTGGCCTCTCCATCGACGTTTCCTGTGATACTGAAACCTATTCCATTTGGGTTGAGCCATCCACAACCCTGCCGCTGTTCCTATATATTACATCATTGAACATAGTGTTAAAAATGTTTTGTATTTTCACGAAGACCCAAAATATGTTTCGAGACCATCTAGCTAAGATTCGATGAACTACGGTATAATTACTGATCCTGCATTGCGTAATGAAAGTTCTCACATCCTAAATTGATTAATATGTGTATTAAGAACGAAATCTAGTCCAAAACTAAGCAGAGCTTGTGCTATAGCTACTAGACAACTGATATAAATACATTTTTTTTTATACATTAAACGGGTCATTTGGTGGATAGTAAGTGACTTCCGCTCTTAAGTAACTTACTCCCCCTCGTCACTTAGTCAGAGGGAGGTAGGTCTGGGCTTCACTCTCATTCTCTCGTTGAAAAGAAACTCCGGTGGAGACTGCCCAGTTGTGCCGAAGCCGGGCTCTCCCATGTTTAGCTGTTAAAATTTTAATTTACTTATATAAGTACGCACCATTGGTTCTACCTTCGGTGTAACAGGAGTTTCTTGCTTGTCCTCAGACTTGCAACATGCGTCGAGATATGACTCGCAGCCACCTTCATCGTCCCCGGCCCTGGAGTCAAACACAACCTAATAATAACCTTACACATCTCAATCTCGGCCGTCTGCTCCTAAGCTGAGCAGAGCCTGTGCTATGGTAACCAGACTGCTGATAAACATACTTATATTTTTCTATATACACACATATCATAGATAAATTACACGCGGCCCAGAACAAATCGAACCTGCGACCTCCGGGTTAATATAACTATACCAATTTAAATAACTAGACCAATTTCAGTCAATGGTATCCTAATGCTGTTTTTTCTGTAACCATAACATCGTATAATGAATAATTTCGTAGTAAAACACGCGCTCATTGTTTTAATTTGATCACTTTTCATGAAATAACTGAAACAGATTTTGACTGCCAGTTAATCCAGTAAGTGATCATCACTATTTAATCAAAAGTCGTGGGTTCCATTCCCACCCAAGCTAAATAATTGTGTAATGAGAACGATCAATTGTTCTCTTGTCGGCGTGTAATTCATCTATACAAATAAATAAAATTGGAGTGTCTGTTTGTAATATTAAAATAACCGCTTTTTACTAAATGCATATGTATGTTTACACGGTACATATTCCAAAATATCATTTTTTACAATTTTTGTCTGTCTGTCTGTTTGTTCCGGGTAATCTCTGGAACGGCTCGACCGATTTCGACGGGACTTTCACTGGCAGATAGCTAATGACATAAGGAGTAACTTAGGCTACTTTTTTTAGACTAGCTTCGCCCCGCGTCGTTGCCCGCGGTTATAACAACAACGGCGGGTAGCTAGTCTATGATATGTATGTATTTAGAAATATAAAAGTATGTTTATGAGCTGTCTGGTTTCCATAGTACAGGCTCTGCCTAGTTTGGGATCAAATCAAACTGCCGTGTGTGAGATGTGTAAAGTTATTTTTATTATAGATGCCACCTGATATCGATAATGTTCTGGCCCGCGTCCTCGATAGTCTTGTTGAGGTTGCACAGGTAGTACGGGACACATTCGCCAATTGATCCATCATCCAAAGTGCACGACACGTCTTTTTTTTTCATATTTCAAATGAAATAAAACATAAAATTAAAAAACACACTCAAACTTAAACATAAAAAAAACAATTCAACTTACAATTCGTTATATTTAGTTACGCGGCAATGTCCACATATATACACGGTGATTTTGAAAGCGTTTTGGAAAAGAAAATTTTGAATTATTTATCAGTAACAGAAGCTATATATAACGTTAATTTAATAAACTATATATTTTTTTATCATCAAGGTCGATATTCATATCGTTTACAGAGAAAAAGTGAGAACCAGTAGTAGGGCTATTCAATCACACGTAGGTGAATACTACGAATAGAAATACTATGCGTTTTAATATCAAGTCACATAAAATCGTATTCGCCAATAAAAACAAAGCTACCGAAATGCACCGGAGTCGTCCAACCAATGACGTCTGCCCCGTAGGCGCATGCGCGGGACTCACCTGTAATCGTGAGGCGTCCTTCGCTTTCAGTCGGTCAGTAATACCATAACATCGTGACGGCACGCTACATTGATTAGCGCTAAAATGAGTCGACAGTACGAATTTTCAAACGTGGAATACTTCTTGGCAATGGTACAGCTGTACGCTACTGTCAACTACAACTTGGAAGAGGCTCGGCGTTTGTATTCCCAGCCGGAGCATTTAAATGCACTACGGCTACGAGGAATTGAAAGCCCTCAAATTCCCTCCACACCTACCATCTTGGCTGCAACCCAACGTCTTCTAGACCACGGACAATTTCGTGCGCCTACTCACGCGCAAGGTCAAGGACGTTTAAATTATTATTCGCCAGAGTGTAGTGCGAGCATACCTTGACAATAAGTTTAGTGATCGGTGGATAGGTCAAGGAGGGCCAGTGCCTTGGTCACCTAGAAGCCCGGACTTAACTCCCCTGGATTTTTTCTTATGGTCGGAAATAAAAAGACTTGTTTATACACGGGAATATGAAAGCCGTGATAATTTACGCATTGCGATAGTGGACGCCTTTGATAAAGTGAAAAGTGATAGAGACACATTAAGAAAATTAAAAAACAATTGCATTAAACGTGGACGTTTGTGTATTGAATGCAGCGGACTCCATTTTGAGCAGTTCCTTCGATACAGAGAAGTGTAAATAGGTATGTAAGTTAATTATTCTGTAGATAGCTCCGATTTTTTAAATACGCCTGAAATATTTATACCTACAGTCCGTTGAAAAATTGATTTGTTGTGAAAACAACAATCGTGGTTAATAATCGAAAAGAAGTTTAAATAAAATAGGTATTTCCGACGGTCCTAAGCCCGTGTAAAGTATGAAGGACAAATTGGAGTCTATCTACGTAAGTACTCGCTAGCTCGCGCCTATTGGTATACTTTTATCAGCTGTTGATAGCGTCAGCGGTGCGCAGCGGCCGCCGAAACGCCCACGGACGTGTTTCATTCATATAACATAATGAATGAATGATCAGTCCATTACTACTTTCCAAGTCGATCGAGTAAAAATGAATATTAAAACTGTAACTTTTTTTTAGACAACATTACAATTGATTTAATCATTTTTATTGGTACTATAGATGATTCCAAATTAAAATGTTTCGTTTCCAAAACGCCTATAAAATCACCATGTATATATTTATATTTCAGGGCCCTCTAGCAAAAGAAGTCGAACTACAGAGCAACTACTGATCCTGTCTCACGTTATTTAAGATTTCACACCAAGTAATATTGAAACATTTACTTTTTTTTTCATTTTCTCGACATTAACGGAGAATGCTCCCTTTGTGTTATTCTGTACGTCCTAATTTATGTATTAGGGGTTAAAGTGTGAAATTGCCGATTTGCACTGAAAAATTTAAGATATAACATATTTATTTAATCAAAATATTTAACCTCATTATCTATATGTACAATATATATCTTATATATAAAATTCTCGTGTCACAATGTTCGTTCCCGTACTCCTCCGAAACGGCTTGACCGATTCTCATGAAATTTTGTGTTCACATCGGGTAGGTCTGAGAATCAGCCAACATCTATTTTTCATACCCCTAAATGGTAAGGGTGACCCATCCCTAAATATTTTTTTTGGCAAAACAACGTTTGCCGGGTCAGCTAGTTATCTATACACTAGTTAATAGCCGCAGAACCGACACCCGGTGGGGAAAACTAGTTCTTGAGTGGAGGCCGCGTCTCGGCAAACGTAGTGTAGGCCGCCCACAGGCCAGGTGGTGTGATTTGCGAACGATATCTGGCAGGAGCTGGATGCGAGAAGCCCAAAATCGATCTAAGTGGCGTGCAATGGGAGAGGCCTATGTCCAACAGTGTACTGCGATAGGCTGATGATGACAATGATCTATACATTGCTGCCATCTAAACTGAAGTTCATTTATGCCTTTACGACAGAACTCTGGGGATCTAGATACGACAAATTGTGTGAAAGCATGTTGGTAAGCAAAAAAATGGTAGTCCGTTGGAGCAATGTCTGGCGAGTACGGAGGATGACGTTTGTTTTCTAACTGCAGCTCATGTAGAGTGACAGCGGTTTCTCGTGCAGTGTGAGGTCTTGCGTTATCATGGAGCAATAATGGTGAAGATCGATTCACGAATCGGGTCTGTTTGACTGCAAGTTTCACCATCATTGTTCGAAGTTCACAGTAAACATCTGCTGTTATTGGCCTGACCAGACCTGAGAAAGCTATAGTGAATAACACCATGAAGAGACCACCAAACAGTTACCATTACCGTTTTATTGGTAAGTTTGACCTGGGGTGAGTTATTGAATTTTTGGCTTGCGGTTATCGTAAACAACTTTTCGTCACATTTCAATTCGATCTAATATTCCTTAATTTCTGTATGGATTCAACAAGGCAACACAAGCTTCAACACGCTTTTTTTTCTGCATATCAGTCAAATCATGAGGCCCCACTTTTCATATTTTTTTATCTTATTGATTTGATGCAAATGAGTCAAAATTGTAGGTAGGGTAACGTCAAACTATACCGCTAATTCTTGGATAGTTTTACTAGGACTGCCTTAAACCATCTCCTTCAATTCACCTTTATTCACCTGCGTGGGCGGTCTTCCACGTGGTTCGTTGTTCAAGTCGAAGTTTCTATTACGAAAGCGTTGAAACCAAAAACGCACGGTGCATTCATTAGCAGTCTCCTTTCCGAACGCAGCGTTAATATTGCGAACTGTTTCTGCCGCGTTAGTTCCGCGTCGGAACTCGCATTCAAAATTACTCGAATTTTCGGAGTATCTATCGCGTTCACGTCTAAGCTGAATAAAAAAAAGCCGTGTGGTGTCGTGGGACACCCGATAGGAACGAAGTTGTGACGATCGAGTAAAACTGATTTGACACGATTTTAATTACAACGCCATCTATGAAAGCGGCTATTACCTACATATTAAAAACAATTAAAACAATTTATACATTGGTAAAATCTCCTTGCGAAATGATTTCCTATCTATTCGATAGATGGCGCTGAATGTCTGACAAGATGACACGAAAATAAAGAGCAAAAAGCCAACATCACGTGGTATTCCCAGGCGGTCACCCATCCAAGTACTAACCACGCCCGATGTTGCTTAACTTCGGTGATCGGACGAGAACCGGTGTATTCAACATGGTATGGACGTTGGCGAACGTTAAAGCAAATTTAATGTATGGTATCCACAGTTAGACGTCAATTTATATTAAAAAGTGTCGTGACAAATTTTCGTGCGAATTTTTTCCGTCTAGCTATCTTTCACAACGCGCGATAAGGAACTTCGTTCCAAAAACAATTGAAAGTCGAAAATCGAATGTTGCACATTTTTTAAAAGAAGAACCTCATAGGTAAAAAAAGTTCAACCTCCTAGTATCAACCTCCAAGTATCAACCTCATAGGTAAAAAAAGTTTCACACGAAAATTTTACACTGTCAAGGTTTTATGTCAATTCAAAGTATCTATCACTATACCTACAACGGCAATTTCATACTTTAACCCCTCTTACTTGGTACTGATTTTATTAAGTACTATCTGTAACCGCAAGCTAGTTTCGCTGTGGCACATTGCGGTTGCATTGATGAGAAATCAGGACCAAAAGTGACGTAGATTAAACCATATTTGAAGTGATTTGTATATTGTGTCAAAATCTGAGCGCAATCGATACTAAACTTTTTGAGCTTTCGAAGCTCACACATACCAACTTAACACTTTTATTGATATAGATTATTCAAATTTTGTTTAATCCATAGTTTACCTTTTCCATCATCCTGACTTTGTGCTGATACCAGGAACAGTAAGAAGAGCAGACTTTTTGAAAACATCTGAATGAAAAACCAGATTTTATTATATTTTCATGCTAATTTATGCTTGTTGCACGCTACGGGCGGGTCAGGAAATTATTATTCCGTTGGTAGTTATCAGCATCTTTATTGTTTGTGTGGAAACCCCCTCGAGTCATCACTTCATCTGGGCCCAATCGTTGAAGTGGTGGGATTCGAACCGATTAAAACTATTTGGCCGCATTTGTACTCTAGAAAAGAAAAACCTGTGAACCCCGACAGACTTAGTCGCCTGTTGTATAAGGTGATTCCACTGGCATTTACGGAGGGTCCCGTTCCCTTCAGTTTCAAGAGGTGGGCGTTTACTGCTCGGGCCATAGCTATCCCTGCCCGTCACCCTCAGGCAAGCGCTATTATTAAGACAATAGGCAACTATGTCTCAGTACTTTTTTTTCACAGTCTAAGGTTTAAACTCGACGTCATAAAAAAAATAATACAAGAAAATCCTTATAATGTTATTTTTTATAGTGTTTTACATTAATATCGCCCACAATAGTAACTAAATAAAATAATACAAGTCTCCAGGAGTACGAGCTCCCCAGTTGGGGCGGCTACATCTAGGGGTGATGTGGCCTATGTCGGGGCACCAGGGACTTCCTTTCTATATACCTATACCTGGTTCCCCGGCTATTAGTACCCGAGACGGCGTGCGGTTTTAGTCGGTTCGAGTCCGACATACCACCGATAGGTGGTATCCGAGGGGATTTCCGCACGGAAAAAAAAAAGAAAAAAAAAGGGGTGATGTGGCCGCTGCAAACGACCCGAGACGGGTGACACTCCGGTGCGGGGCGCTGTCATCTAAGGCCGGGTGCTGTTGCGCCCCTTACTGTGTAGAGCCCCCCCCCCCTCCCGCAGCATGAGCATCCCGCCCCCTAGGGCGCGATGCTGCCTCCTAAGTGATCATGGTCACCCTGGAACGTGCCTCAATCGTGGGGTACCTCAGGAAAGCCTCTAAAAGCCGCCGACTGACGAGGTAGGCCGCCGCGGGGCATAGTAGCTAGACCGGTTTTCCGGGAGTCCACACACGTCCTCCGTTTCCCCAACGGAGGGTATGGTGCGAAAAGCATTCCCCGCATTAAAAAAAAAGGAGTGCGATACCAAGAAAACTTGCGAGAAACATTAATTTGTTGAAATGGCATCAGAATAATTGAGCAAAGTAGCAAAACTTAAAAAAAAAACAAAAGTGGTCACCATTTTCACACCGTTGACAACCATGACATGAAATTTTCTTATAGCCTGGCACTAGGGCTACCTCAGATTTGCGGATTATTCATTACTTACGACAGACCCTGTCTAATGCTTTTAGGTGAACTTAGGACCCTTTTTTTTTTTTTTTCCGTGCGGAAATCCCCTCGGATACTAATAGCCGGGGAACCAGGTATACCCTAGAAAGGAAGTCCCTGGTACCCCGACATACCTCGGGTCATCTACAGACGAGTAGACGACCCCCCCCGTGTGGGAACCCCATGTTCCCTGTGCTCCCTGGAAGCGAGCGCGCTTCGCAACGCGCTCGCCGCCACCCCGGCCTGCTTCTGCTAGGGTGACAGATGGCCTCACCTGTCACCCCCAGGCCTGCGCTTATGGAGGACGGAGGTCGTTCTGCGACCTCCGGCGCCTGAGTCGTCTGCGGTGCCTGGCCCGTTCCCGGGCCTGGTGGGCCGGGAGAGTCCTAAACCTCTCCCGGTCCCGCTCCGCCGTCTCCTTCGCGAGCATAACTTGCTCGCAAAAGGAGACGGCAGAGTTCCACGCACTCTCGCTCCGCACGATAGCCGCAATCAGGCTATCGAGCGAGAGAACTCCCACTCCGATGGCCGCCACGAGGTCTCGCCTCTGCTCAACCCACGCCGGGCACTCTGCCAGCGTGTGGAGAGCCGTGTCCACGGTCTGGCCATCGCAGTGGTGGCACTCAGGCGTTGGCTCCTTGCGGATCAGACACAGGTGATCCCCGAAACATCCCTTCCCAGTGATCACCTGCGTCAATCGGTATGAGAGGGTCCCGTGACGCCTCTCGAGCCAATCCTCCATAACGGGTCTTACCGCCGCGATGACGGCGTGCCCGGCGCTCGGCACTCCCCTATGATGACCTGGCGGAGTTGGGATTTCCGGTCATCGATTTCTCGAATCTCGAGGCATCGACCCAACTCCCGCGCCTCCTTGCGCCACTGATACAGAGCCGCAAGGGCTCTCGCCTCCAGGTCCCACGGTGGAGTTCCGGCCAGGAGACTCGCCGCCTCAAAGGAGATCGTGCGGTACCCCCTTATGATCCTGATGGCCAGCACTCGCTGCGGTCGTCGCAGTATCGCGACGTTGCTGGCCTTCAGGGCCCCCGCCCATACTGGGCACCCGTAAAGGGCCATGGACCGCACAACCCCCGAGTAGAGTCTCCTGCAGGAGTCATCGGGTCCCTTCATGTTGGGCAGCAGCCGCGCCAACGCACGCGCTGCCCCAACTAACTTGGGGACCAGACCAGACCATCGATGCCGATGCGAGTGCCTCCTACCGTGAGGCTAGATCCCTCAGGCGGCTTCCTCCGAAGCCCGTGGAAGAACAGGGCCTCGGACTTGTGCAGAGCCACCTCGAGACCTAGCCGCCGGATACGCTCAACGACTTGGGCAACCCCGGCCGTGGCCCTCAGGGTTGCCTCGTGGTGCGTCTTGCCGCGCGCCGTCACGAGTGTGTCGTCCGCGTAGCACACGACGGCGACACCATCCAAGAAGGCACCACGAAGCACCCAGTCGTAGCCGATGTTCCACAAGAGTGGCCCTAACACCGACCCCTGCGGAACACCGCACGACATTTCACGCCTAAGGTGAACTTAGGACCCATAATATCTTCCCCGATCTGTCGGACGCCCAATTCGGTTTTCGAGCGGGGCGTTCGACAGTCGACGCTGTGTTGCGCTGTAGGACCGTGAACGAAGAGGCGGTGAGGCGTGGCGGCGTGCTGTTGGCGGTGTCGTTGGACATCGCGAACGCATTCAACTGTCTGCCATTCAGCTGCATCAAGGAAGCATTCCACTATCATGAGGTGCCAGAGTACCTGAGGCGGCTAGTGGCAGACTACTTAGAGGAGCGTACCGTCATGTGCGAGGTGTTGGCTCATGTCGTGCGGTGTTCCGCACTATTGTTTTATGGGCCCCGTCGTGGTCCGCCCTCCGGTGCCTCCATCGTGGTCGATTCGGTCCTCGTACCGGTTCAGGCCCAGATGAAGTATCTGGGCCTGATTCTTGATGGGAGGTGGCTCTTCGACGAGCACTTCCGACAGCTTGCTTCAAAGCTAGTGCTTCTGCTCTAGGGCGACTTTTGCCCAATTTGGGAAGAGCCAGGACAAGACGGTTGTACACGGGGGTTGTCAAGTCAATGGCACTGTACGGCGCTCTGACAGCCCAGAATAGGGCACGCCTCTGGCGCCTTCAGAGGATATTGGCGGTTACAGTTACCGCACCGTATCGACGGATCGGCGTGCGCATTGACCGCAACACCCCCGTGGGATTTGGAGGCGGAAGTGCTCGCCGAAGTATATCGGCAGACGGCTAAGTTCCGGGCGGATCGCGGCTTTCGGCCCCCGTCCGAAGAGATACGCGAGTGGCGTGAGGCCGCTCGCCCAGCCATGATGACTCGTTGGTCGTTCCGGCTGGAGGCACGTGCTGGCTTTACCGCCGTGGAGGCGCTCCAGCGGTCATCGTCGAGTAGGCAGGGCGGCAGCACGGGACCCTTTCCTTCCGGCTGACGCAGGTCCTTTCCGGGCAAGGCTGCTTCGGGAAGTACCTACACTCGGTCGCCATGAGGGAATTGAGTCCCTCGGCGGAGACTCGGCTCAGCAAACTTTGCCCAATGCCGACTCCTCATTGCAGTCATCGGAAGGGATCTCTCGCTACCGGCCGTACGCTCCGTGGCCGGTAGTGACAGATGTTTCACCGCGGTTGCTTCCTTCTGCGAAGACGTCATCTCGCAGTAGGAGGCGGCGGAGAGGGCCCGGGAGGACAACCTCTATTCGGACCCAATTCGTCGCCGACGAAGGCGCGCTTAGCACCCCCTCATGCCGCCTTGAGTGTGGCCGCGGGTGGACGGGACGGGTAAATGGAGAATGTACCTGAAGATGGTGCCCGCGCCATTGCGGCGCCATCCTAGCGCCTCAGGAGGGATCCAAATGCCTTAATAAAAAAAAGGACCCATAATATCTTGTGGACGTAGATGGATGTATGATTATCTTTACTTCATTTTGTCTAAGGAGGGAAGTGGATTTCTTATATTTCCAACTCCGTCAATTTTCTTCTAAATCATTTCTTTCATCATTTCTTTCAATTCCAAGACAGTTTAATTTTTCCTGGGACTTCCCGAGTGTCATAACTCGGTGTGTTCGTGAATCACTGCTGTTGATCCTGGTATACAGTGGTGGGCGTGTGCGAGGATTTAGTATCCAATGGCTGGTGCCTCATCTGTAGTGATTACTTATCTTATCTTCTCCCGTGCCCTTTTCGTCGCCTCTTTAGCTAGCTTCCTCGCAGATGCGGTAGCACCTGGTTAAATACCTCCCTTAAGAATTAAGCTAGTTTATCAACCATTAACAATAATCCGAAGTTGAAATTTATTTGTTTTATTACTTATAAAACATTTTTACTCCATCAGACGAGTTAAATATATATATATATATATTTTTTTTTTTATGGTATAAGGTGGCAAACGAGCAGACGGGCCACCTGATGGTAAGCAACTACCGCCGCCCATGGACACCTGCCACTCAAAAGTCACAAGTGCGTTGCCGCCCAAATTATTAAATTTTTGACGGCTTAAATTATATTGTTCATAGAAATTGTTAAAGTTATAAAACTATGTACGTTAGCAAAAAGTTGACTAAATGACGAAGATGTACATACAGGTTTTTATTAAATAAAAAAAAAACTAAGAATCCCTCTCAAGCGCTCAAAGAATATAACTGTTTATACATGAATCTTATTAGAGAATTAAGTACGAGTATGTTACTTACCTTTATCTAACAATATGATATCCAGAACACAACACTAACACTTAAATTGATAAATTCTTAATAAAAACATATTGTAACACAAAATCTTGGCAACTTAAACGGGTTTTCTTACTTCTTATATATTATTTTCCTTAAACACGTCGTGACTCAAACACATTTCGAAACGCACTGCTTAAATTTTTTCAAGGCGTACATATATAAAGCCAATCTAGTGACGTATTCAAACATATAATACACTCACATAATACATCACTGCTGGACATAGGTATCTCTTTAGAAAGAAGGTTTTGGTCTTTTATGCCAAGCTGGCCAGACTGGTTGGTATAGGGTTTGTTTCAAGTTTTCCTTGTTTTTGTAGTGCTGTTATCCTACGTAGTTGGTTCCCTTAGTTGCCTCTTACGACACCATCGAGATGAATAGGGGTAGTGAGACTCCCTATTCTTAATCCGTCACCACACGGATAATATATAATACACTCATTCACATCGAATCCCCGAAGTAATAAACAGAGACGGTTTAAACGCCTACATTTTGACGACTAGTATTTAGGCACCATTTACGTAATAGGGGCAAGTCAATCGCAGTAGGCCAGGCACTTTAGGTGTTAGATAGGAAAACTGGAAGCATAAGTTGATAACGGTAACTAGAACTGACCTGAAGTCGGAGTCCTCTACCCAGAACCTCTAAAACGAAGACACTAATAAAGCCAATCTTATAATCAAATAAACCATAAATATAATACGGGCTCTGCCTAGTTTGGGACCAGACTGCCGTGTAGATTTGAAACAGTACAAGGAAAATGTAAAACCATAATTAAGTATATAATTGCAGTTAGAGGTAGATCAGACTTTGTTTGCTTTTTCCGCCTGGAAAATACTAAATGTTTTAGGATGTTCTTTGTGTAATGTTTAAAATTTATATCGACAAAATGACGTCATCTTTTAATTTGCGCTTTTTAACTAGCGTCATTATTTAAGCAGGGATGATGTATTGCAGTTGACGAAGTCGTTCAAACATATATTTGCAGGGATGGAAATATCCTCAACTAAATATCGATATATTATCTTGTTCCTGACATCCTGACTAAACCTGATCACTAAAGCCGAATGAGCATCACTAACTTAAGCATGGGAGAGCTATGCACCATATGGGACGGCCCGACTAGTGTGATACCATGGCCTCACAGGAATTCGTGTTGGTATTATACTCAAGAACGGTATTTAATGCGTCGAGGTAAGGTTGGCTAGGCTTCACAGGAAACCAGTGTTAATTAAATCTTTAGTTGCTTTTCGTCGAGTGAGTGGGATTGCCAAAGAGAGCCTAACCTCCCCCCTACTAACTTTTCACTCGAATGACGATGGAGCACTTGTCTCTTGAGATGCAGATGGCAGTTGTTACTATCGGGCATCAGGCGACCCATCTACTTGTTTGTCCTATAAACGATTAAAAAAAAACCAGATGGCTCGAACCACGCTGGTCGAACGGTTCAATATTAGTGCAAAGTATTAAAAAAAAACAACTTGGTTTAGACTATGTATATGGACAAAATTTAACGTTACATGTTTCATCATTTATATGACTAAGGCAAAAAACATGTACATAGCCGATAAACATTTGTTCTATTAGAGGGAAAACACCTCGAGGAGTTCATAGGACATCAGCAGGATTGGGAACTAACATCTTCTGGAAGGTGTACTTCTGAAATGCTCTCATATTACAAATCTTGATTGTGAAATATCTGCTTTTGCTGAATTTGTACGGCAGATCTTGGCACGAGACGAGAGCGTTTTCATTAGCCATCTTTTCTTTTCATGCTTTGTAAAATCTTTGGATTTGTGTAGCTAAAATTATTTAAAAAAACATCATCAGTATGAAGCTGAAAGAATGGCGGCAGCAAGTTCATCACTATCCTAAATTATCTATCTACTCTTCTCGATCCTTCTTATCAATGTAATCGTTTTTAGATGGGACAAAGGATAAAAGGCTAATCAGGGTAAAGAATACTGATAGGACTGACTGGACTGGACTGACTCGAAGAGAAAACAGCCTCACAGAAAACCGATGTTGAGCAGTTCATTCGTTACTTTTGACAAAACCCCATTCACCGATCCGCACACCTTGGGGAGGGGGGAGGGGGAGGGAGACTAACTCAAACAAATATTGTGCAAATAATACATACATGTTATACATTCGCTTTTTACTCTCTGTAGGTCTTCGGTCGTATCGTCGTTTAAAATCACTGCCATGCTGTGTATATTCATCACAAAGGGCTTCTCCAATTGACTTTTTATAAGGTCTTCGTAGCTAACATATATCTGCGAAAAATATTAAATACGGACTAACACATATGGCATTAATAGCATTAGTTAGTACATAGCCTAAGTTTATTTAAAACGCTACTTATTCACAAACACAGAATTATAGGCACAACTTCATATTCATCATCAACAGCCTTTATAGTCCCCTGCTGGACATAGGCCTCTCCTTAGAAGGTTTTGGCCTACTATACCACGCTGGTCAGAAGGTTTGTTTCAAGTTTTCCTTCTCTTTGTAGTGTTTTTGTCCTGTGTGCTCTCTATCGATAATTCGGCTCTTACAACAGCGACGGGATAAATACACGTGGTGGGGTGGTGATACTCCGTATTCTTAATCCGTCATAACACGGACATTAGAGAAATTAAAGGCATAACTTATTGGTAATTAAATATTCAGATTAATTATTCTTTTTCAGAAGACAACAACAGAAAGTTGTAATTTAAAAGGAGAGGCAACTCATAGGTGAATATTACATTCTGGACTACAATGTTGAATTCGCAAAATGTGACATACCACAATGTTGAATTTGCAAAAAGTTCAATTGTTTATCCAGACCATAATTTTGACTTTACAAAATATTCAATCACAAAATGTTGAAATTGTACAGTTATTTTTCGAAAATATTCTTTTAATAACGTTTTAAAAACCAAAGATTTATTCGATGTTTTTAGTAGCTTAGAATTATTATTCTTTAGTTAGTATATACATACATTTTATAGTGTGTACGTAGGTTTAAAAGGTAGTTTCCTGTATAGAGCCGTCTATGTGGGTACCACCGCAGTGCCAGATATTTTCTCGTCATGTAGAGGTATAGTTATAATAAAATTTGCCAAAATATGTTTACATAGGCCTCCTCCAAATATCTCCACCGCGACCGGTCCTGCGCCTCTCACATTCACAGCAATCAATACTTTGAGCGTAAGCATTTTGAAAATTCAACGTTGTGAGTCCAGAATGAAATATAACTGTAGCTAATTAGCGCTGTACGACCTGAATTGCGCTTTATCGTGTTGGAGTAAGAATCACTATTGGATAAAATGATTTGGCGGAGTTAGTCTTTTGTTCTCGCACTTTATGTATTTTGTTACCTAAAAAGGCGCCTAAGAGGTCGATAGGCCTAGCGATACCATAATATACTAAATAGTGGGTAACTCACGGGGTTCGTTGACTCATTGTCTTCGGCTTCACCTGAAAAAGACATGTACAGATTAAAAATAGTTTTCTCCCTAATGATATTATTCATCAATTGAAATATAGTTCAAACCTTTCGTACTTTATATTCTTCTCTGTATACTAGAAAGGTGAAGAATGAAACCGAACTTACAGAAAACTGACTTAAGCCAATTTAACGGACTTAAAAAACGGAGGATGTTCTCGAATCGGTTTATTTTTATCTGTGTTTGTACCTACCTACCTAAGTAACTTCTATGTTTTTACCTCAGTAACCTGTCATTTATAAAACGATTTGAAAAATCTTACGCCCCACAAATAAAATAAAAAAGAAAACATTTGAAATATAAAATAAACTTCTCGTTTGGTCTCATTTAAATTTGAAGCAGAAATACTACTCTCAAGGATGGCAAATCAAAGAATGCAGAAAACAGTTTATTGTATCATCATGTTACAGGCGCATTGAAGTCAATTGGAGTTTTTTAAACTTATTATTGAGTAAAAAAGTCGGCGAATGGTCAAACTCAAGTGGCAGTGGACGTCTTACGGCTGAGATGATGAGTCCTATATGTCTACTTGAGTTTAATTACTAAGTTTAGTTTCTGTTTCTGTGTAAATTTTACCTTCATTCAGCTCCGATTTCGATATAGATATACATCTGGGCTTCGGTGGTTCAATGGAAGGTTTAGAATGAAAAATATCGAGCTCAAGAGTGCCCAAGTTTAATAGTTCCCTGATCATTCCATTGGACTTGACAAAGGCAGGCTTGACTAAACCTACTATTGACTTTATCATCTTTATGATTCTAAAACACTTTTGCCGTAAAATTATAAGTCCAGGCTAGTAATAAGCTGGACTTCAAAATAGAAGTTATAACTGGATCATTATATTGTTTCAATTGACTCCTGTATTAGTTTAATGGTTTCATGATTTAGTTATATGATTCTGCAGTTGTTTACATTTTATGTTAAAACCAAATATTTAGAATTCAGATGCCATTTTTTTGAAGAATCCAGTGTTTTTGATTGACGTAACTTTTTTGTCCGTGGTTTATTTTTCTTTTTTTGCAGCCAGCTGTACAGGTAGAGAACAAGAATAAGAAAATCTTTATTTGTCTTTTACATCACATACTTAGTATTAAAAAACAGTATTCGGATTCGGAATGTCAGTGAACCCCACCAAATACAGGCAATCATAATATGATAAGGCGATAGGTACAGCTTTTATCCCACCGGCCGTCTTCAACGGCTCAGTTATACCGTGGAGTCCAGTAGTCAAGGACCTAGGCCTGCTCATCGCCTCAACCCTTGATTGGCGTGCTCAGGTTACTCATGTGAGTCAGAAAGTAACCGGAAACTTGCGAACGTTATACCGCCTTAAGAATTTCCTGCCACCAAAAACGAAAATCTCTCTCATGCAGTCCCTAATTATCCCTTTAATTGATTATGGCGATGTGTATTACTTCGACCTGAATGCAGACCTCCTTAACAAGCTAGACCGTCTTCTCAATAACTGCATTCGATATATATTTAATCTTCGAAAGTATGACCACGTCTCTGCTTTTCGTTCCCAATTGCAATGGTTGCCCGTTCGCCTGCGCCGTAATCAGCGAGCGCTGACCTCTCTCTTTTCATTCCCCAACTCCCCATTCTCACCCGCTTACCTTGATCCCTATCTGCGTTTCCTCTCCACTAATCACGATAGAAATCTTCGCTCAACAAATAATTTGCTTCTCCTTTGTCCCTCCCACAATTCCGAGTTTGTGAACTCTTCATTCTTTGTGCAAGAAGTACAACTTTGGAATGCGCTCCTACTTGAGATCAGGATGTCCACAAACCGTTTCACATTTAAAAATAATGTACATAACTACCTTCTTCAGCGGAATTACCTACTTAATAGTACACCTCCATATTTACAGTGTACGAATATAAAGTATATGTATTTTATGTGTATTTATATCGAAATATGTATATGTGTGTATGTATGTGTGTAATTGTATATGTTAGTTATAACTGCTATAGCAACTGCAACCTCAGTGCACCTACCCCACCAGATTTCTACACCCCCCAAAGGTTGGCTGGTAGAGAATGCCTTGGGCATTAAGCCCGCCGTTGTACATAAGTGCATAAAGTTGTAAATAAATAAATAAATACTTGGTGAACATTAACACTGTAAAGACAAAGTTATTGACTCAGTATGTGGATGACAGACTGACTAAAACTTCATGAGGCCTTATTCTTAAGGTCTGCATTCACTGAGAAATAGTGTATCGTGTATAAGGTGTATATTACGTACGTAAATTTACCGAAAAAATATTTCGTTGATAAACGTTATACATATAAACTATACTTGCTGCATACAATTATACTTTAGAGGCTCAGATCATTGATATGACTAGATAAAACTGTAAAGGTTACGAAAACGTCGAAAAATATAGTTGTAGTTAACCATAGTACTTGTTTCATAATATTCACTTTATTTCTATTAATTTGTAGGTTGTGTGGTGACGGATTATGAATACGGAGTGTCGCCACTCCTATTCATTCCATCGGTATCGCGACAGCCGAGTAAGAGAGCAAACTACGCAGGAAAACAGCAAAGAGGATGAAAACTAGAAACAAACGCTATACCCAGGGGCGGCCTTTGAGGATGGCGCGCCGGGCAACCGCCCGAGATCTCGTTAATGCAGGGTCCTCAGCGGTTGCACTATTTTTTTTTTCTGTGCGGCAATCCCCTCGGATTCCACACACCGTTTGTTGCACCAAACGCTACACGCGTGATGAGTGACGTTCCTTAACGGACGTACCGGTTAGCAAGCGAAGCCGGCCGGTACTACCGCAGACATCGCGGGCAGGAGAGGGCCTTCACTCTCTAAATATCTGAGTTGACTCACTATTAGTATTTACTACACATATGCCTATACATAAGTACCCGACAGTGGGTAAGTGCTGCACCGCAAAGGTCGTCAAATAATAAAACCGTCATCAACATTAAAAAATCTATATGTCATAATCCAGCAAAAGTCAACTGCTTAAAAATTGTTTTTGTGAAATTCAACTCCGAACATAGACAAAGAATCTAGATAAATTGCAGTGCAAATATTTGCCTAATAAATAGCCGAAAAGGTGTCAATATGCTGAACCTGGGTTCTTTGGCTGCTCTCACCAAGGCTATAACCACTCGACAAATAAAAATGGCCAAAATGGCTCCTTTAAGCAGTTCACTGTATGACAAGCAATATCTACGCACAGCTCGACCAAATGTGAGACTTCCATCAGAAGGTAATATTTCCTTATCACGGGAGAGCCATACTTTGGCACAAGTGGGCCGGCACGACAGGAGTGGTATGACGGCATTTGAAACGCAACTAAAGAACTGTCTCTCCCACGATAAATGCTACGTACGTTTAAACAATATGGTCAGTTACTTGTCCATTCATAAAAAACAATCATTTTATCACATAATATCGTTTAGGAACTTGACATCAGCCATCGTAAATAACGATTTATTATTTACTTAATTTTTGTTCTCAGAACCTATAACTTTGAGGGAAGAAGTGCCGTGGCGGGACCCATTAACGGCCAAGATTTACATCTTGGGGGTTGATGTTCCTGGGATCCTGTAATACCTAACATAATAGCGCTCTTTGATATGAATAATAAAATGGGCGTAAATAAACCACACTGCATTATTTTTATTGCATCGTAATGTGCAGAGACGGTTTAATGCGCAAACTGCATGGGAAATAACTGTCCGAAGTTATCTGTAACTATTTTACTTGAGAAAAAACTCGGTTACGTAGTTGCGATCAAAGAAATATTTTAATCATAATTAATAGGCATTTTTAGAAAGATTATAAATACAGATTATTGATCGACTACAAAAGAAAGATTCTCAAGCAGCTTTTTTTTTGGTTTGTTGTTTTAGAACTCCGTTATCTATGAGTCGATTTGAACATTTTTTATTCTGGGAACGTATTCTCGTTGGGTTTAAGCGTAAATTAACCACAGTGCATTATTTTTATTACATCGTATTGTGCAGAAACGGTTTTTGTGCAAACTGCATGGGAAATAACTGTTCGAAATTATATATAACTATTCAAATTGAGAAAAAAACATGGTTACGTAGTTGTGATCAAAGACATATTTTTAATCACAATTAAAAGGCATTTTTAGAAAGATTATAAATACAGATTATTGATCGACTACAAAAGAAGGATTCTCTACCTGTTTTCTTTTTGGTTTGTGTTTTAGAACAGTCATTTATGAACCGATTTGGATATATTTTTTTTATTTTGGGAACGTATTCTCGTTTGGTTTCATTGAAATTTGAAAAAAAATTAAATGAGAATCCGGTTGGTACAATTCATCCTGATTTAAGCGCTTTGAAGTCGGTTGTATTTATGTTGTTGTTGTTTATGTAGTTGTAATTATTTTTGATTACGATTTAGAGTAGGACATTAATATTTTAATATTTAAAACGTTTCCATCCACAAACCGTCCATAAGACGGTTTGTGGATGGAAACGTTTCTGTAGAACACGTCGTTGACTGTCTGATTTAACGAAAACAAATTTATATCATTCTTAAAAGTGTATGTAACAAGAGAGGAGTAGATTTAATAGTTGTAAAGTTGACGTTTGAGCACTTCATGAGCAATTTCATTTAAACGAACCTTATTACAACTGAATCGTAATATATTTATTTGTTAAATGAAAACTATTTTGGCATGGAGATTTATGCTTCGGCACAAATAGACTGAGCCGATTCTCCAGGGGATGCCTGTAAACTCACGGATCCCCCGTCAAATAAAAGTAAGTTATAAAGATGTTTTCACACTGACTCTAATTTATATTAGCCACACAATTTTTTTATATATCATAACATTATTTCAACTGGCTAGTGGCACTGAACGCCGTCTTCTTGTTTATTAAATGACGTTATCAATAATAATGTCAATAAGTGAAGATTATTGAAAGATGTTAAGTTAAAAAGTTAGGTTTATGAAATACTGGCTCAAAAATGAGGATGTTATAAAAATGTGGTCGGTTTTCTAATCTAAAATAACTGTAGCGAAAGTTGGAACGCGGATCTAATCAAAACGATGGGTCGGAATTGCCCCAACATTATACAGTTACTGAACGCATTAAAAACAGATACTGGACAAAAGCGAAGGCAACCGGAAAAAGGTTCGAGACAGATAAAATCGCAATAGACAAGTTTATTAAGGAAATACAGCTACAATGATTAAATACCTAATGTAATAGGTCACAGTGACAGCAGGTCATTTTTTAGAAATTTTTAAAATATATAAAATAAAATTTGGGAAATCCACTTTTTCAAAAAACAGGCCACATGGCAATGAAAATGGTTACTTCTGAGATCGATAGGAACAAATATGTATGAAAACTAAAAAAAAAAAAACAGGTAACTAATAGTCCGAAAATAGTCTTTATAAAATCTAATTGATGCACTCATCATAAATATTTCATCTGTGTAAAAATATGCTCTTTGTGTTACTGTTTTCTTACTTTTACTTACATCCTCATGAACGAGTTTACGGGGATACCCACTGTACTCTGTGAGGATGCCCTAGGAGCTGGAGCTACTGGATTCTGGTGAACGAATCTGACTGAATGAAGTTGCCAAAGGCTAAACCCTCCCTCGCCCTCTAATTTGCGGGAGAGGTACTGAAAATATCGGTACTCTTGTAAGTATTGCAGGTGTTCATTGGCGTCGGTCACAAGAAAACCGTTTGCCGCATATATTCGTAAAAAATTAAGATAATCCAAGAAGTTTCCTTTTATCTGCGCGCATAACCAAATAATAATAATAAAAACTTCACACATCTCACATACGGTCCTCTGATCACAAACTAGGCAGAGCCTGTGCTGTGGTAACTACAGTGCTGATAAACATACTTATATATTTCTAAATACATAGAGTTAATAGATAGATTACACCCAGACACAAATGATCAAGCTCATCATACAATTATTTGTCCATATGAAACTAAAAATGGAAAAACATCTATGCGAGGCTAACGCTAAATTGAACAAAAATAAAATAACCAAACAAACTACAATTAACCAGCTTGTTACTATTATATAATTCTAACCACCTAAGAAACCTCTTAACTTGAATCATTTGCTAAGCCTAACCAACCTCATAACAACTTTTAACAACTTTTTTAATTTTGGATGATGTTAAGTTAGACATATTTCTACTAATCGATTGAATTTCGAACTTTCATTGTGCTCAATAGTTACTCCGTAGTTCGTCATGTCTTTGTTAGATGGCGCTGTAGCATGTTTTGCATTGAATGCGGAAGTCGTCACCAGAATATTAATTGTTTCTTTTCTTTAATAATTTGTTTAAGAATTAAAATCACTTTTTTTTTTAATCCACTTTATTTTTAGGTTTAGGATAAAACCGTAGATATCAAACACAAACAACACAGAAAAGCGCAACTTTAATAGTTAGGTACTGTTGACCTCTTACCAACAGCAGGTGTGTTTGTTTGCCACCGTGGTCGTGTAAAAAGAAACCAAAAAAAAAACACCGTAGTAATTGGCAATTGTTAAAATCAGCTTTTATTATTATCAACAATCAATTAGGATTGTTACGATATGAGAGGTTTGCGATAGAAATTCAGTTAGTGCGTGGCGGAGGAACAGAGATCTCCTAAATTAAAATGCTGAGAATATTACAGTTCTCTCTGGTAACTATTAAACTTATCGTGCTATTCTTCTTGCTTACGCAGATCTGGAACCCTAGCATCCTTTTACAATCGTAGGTTTGCATTATAAAAGGACATTGAAACGTAACTACGGTAATTTTGCCTTAACAGCAGCAAACTTCGCGGCTAAAAATTCGGCCTTAATAAAAAGTACCTAATTTGGGATTTAACTGGCTAGATAAATAATGTTTAGTTCTAAAACAAGTTTTAAAATAAGTATATTAATAATATTTCAGATAATTTTCTTTCCACATTTTGCCGCCACTGATCCTTCACCCAGCTTGTCTTACAATTTTAGGAATGTAAGTAACTTTTATATAAAAATTAAATTAAAATCGTCGTAGATTTTTGCTCAATAATTTAATTTGCGTAACCATTAGAAAATGAAAGCATAGGTTTGCCACCAAGTTTTTCAGCTTAGTTTTAGGTTCAAAATAAAAATTGCAGACAGAAACTTACAAAAAACCCACCAGGTACTTACTTAGAATCTGCGTCGACATCAAGAACAAAAACATTTCTTTCAACTCTGCTCTCATGCCATGCTAAAACCGCTGATTAACATTATTAGTTATTCCTAGACTTTTATTAATTCAGTGTGTTGACGGATTTAGAATACGGAGTGTCAACACCCCTATTCATCCCGTGGGTGTCGTGAGAGCCGACTAAGGGAGTAAACTACGCAGGACAACAGCAATGCAAAGAGAAGGAAAACTTGACACAAACCCTATACCAACCCGTCTGGCCAGCGTGGTATAGTAGGCCAAAACCTCCTTAATAAGTGTGGACTCTTAAAAGCTGTTGATGTTATGTAATGTGATTAATTCAGAATTAAAGTTATTTTATTTTAATTATTTCAATGATAGGTCAAAGATGAGCTATACGAGCAACCTGTCAACTTTATGGGCCCGAAGAAGTCGCTGCATGCCAAGGTAAAAATCTTTCTTCCTTTTTGAAAGACAAATTCCCCATTGTGAATATACTCTGTGTCGCGGTGGCGTTTACAAACATATGTGAAACGGACACAAACAACACCCAGAATAACAATTTGTAAATACATAAAGTGCTGTTCCAAGTAGGGATCGAACCCACGACACTCGGCGTAGTAGAAAGCGACGAGCCATTCGTGCAGTCGTTTGTTTTTATTTTTATTTTTTTAAAAGACGACACCCGCCTTAGTTATTAGTATATCCTGTGTCGCGGGGGACATGAAACGGACAAGAAGAACAACAATTTGTGGATCACACAAAGTGTTGTCCCATGTGGGGATCGGCGGTAAACGGCGTGGCGACCGCTTAAACCACTACGCCATCCGTGCAGTCAAGTCATTCATGGTTATATTTCGTTATGAACAGAATATAAGGAAGGAGGAAAGGATCTATTCCTTTTTATTTATTTCCGTACTAAAAAAGTAAATTGATTAAAAGGAAAACAGATAGGGCAAAGGAGGTATCTGTGGGGAAACTAAACTGAAATTGCAGAATTAGTAATATTTAAACATTTTCCAGGACGAGTCAACAGGTGCGGAACACACGGAATCCAACACGGACTCTTGGACTCAATTCGACTTCTCCAAGTTTGACTCTTATTTAAATAACTACAATCAAGAATCAGAGAATCCAGACCACAACCGGATCAAAAGACGAGCCAGAGTGAGTACCATTCTTACCATAAGAAGAGATCATAAACTTATTGTCCGTTTATGTCAGTTCAGGTTTTTACAGTCATAATACTAGCGCCTCTTAATAAACAATACAAGTTAGTAATTAATTAATAGTTTCGTGTAGAGTTTTTTTATATTCGTAACTAATCTTTGACAAAGGGGACGACTGCAATATAAATATTTTATGTTCTTTATGACCTTCTAAATCTAACAGATTTCATTTGAGTTATTATGAGCATTTAAATTAAAGAAATATTAAAAATACGAGCACAATAGTTTAACATCTAGAACCTTCGATTTTACCCGCAAATGTATAATGTTTTGTTACCATGAATGCTTCCTCTGAGTGGTAGACTGTAAGCTCAAATAAGCACATTTATTTTCATTATCGTCAGACCGGTTGATGACCAGTAGATTTGGTAAATTGTATGAAATAACATAACATCATGATTGTAAATTTTTATTGAAAAAAACCTTGTTAAAATATACCGAAGCTTGTCCAAAGGTTTTATTAAAACTGGTGACAATTTACAAGAGTAATATGATTGAGAGAAAAAACACTTTCAACTGATACTAATTTCTATAATTAATAAAATCAGTAATCAGTCTTAGGATAAGTTAAATTAATGACACTTTATCTACTGACAGAAATAAATTCGTTTTGAGATATTTGTTTTTAATATCGGAAAAGAGCTATTTGTAACCACCATCGTTATCAACAAAACTCAGTAAAATCAACAAAATAATTAGATGTAGTTTAATCACTTCTCTTTACAACACACTGCCCTTATGCCATGTTTTTTTTTGGCATGTGAACAAACATATCAGTGAAAAAGTGAAAATTTACTAAGTGTTCTAACCTAGAAGCATCCCCCCTATATGGAACAAAGCCACCCCAAAACACAAGAAAGGAATACAGATTCCCATTGACAAGATAATTTTCTGCCGCAGACAGTCCGAAAATTTAACACCATGCTTGGCCCTCAACTGCGGGAGCGACCCCACCACTACACCTATCCAGAGCCGGTTAAAGATAGAGTTATGGAGTTCACCACCACGAGCAGACGACCTGGAATCCTTCCAGATCAGATGAATCCAGGAGTTATTTTCAGAGTCCGGATGTCGGATGCTATTTTGCGCATCAAGCAGCGTATGTACGAAGATCCTGAAAGACATATTGAAGCTGACATTATTTACACAAATTTAATTAAAAAAGTTGTAATGGACGAAATCACAAAATTCCACAATCTTTTGCTTATGTACAAGACGGATAAAAGTATAAAGGAGCATCTGGGAGAATGTGGTGGAAGAATCTACAAGTTCATCAGTTACATGACTATAAAGGTTCATATCTACTGTCTCTTTGATGCACTCTGGATCGATGGAAACCCTTATGTGATAGGGGATGAATACTCCGTGACGCCAGTTGAGATACCCCCCATGTTGCAGTGTGATGCAGCTGAATGTAATTCTATAGTATTCGTTGATTCCATAACTGAACCCAAAGATGTTGAAGAATAAAGTTCAATAAATATTTTGAGATATTTGCGTGTTTTATTTTTGTGTCTGAATCTTTCCTACTTTATAATCCAGAAAGACTTTTTATCTTTGGACGTATTTGAGTAACGGTATAGGGGGCAAACGAGAAGACTGATCACCTGATAGTAAGCGACTATCGCCACCCAAGACATGCATGCATCTCAAGAGTCACAAATGTCTTGATTTATTTATTTATTTATTGCCTCAGTGGTGCAGCAGTAGCGTGTGACTGCTATGCTGACTGTATCGGGTTCGATTCCCGGGTTGGACCAAATAGTTGTATAATCTGCAAATATTTGTTTTTTCTATGTATAATATGTATGCATTCAGAACAAAAAGTATATATGTATTCTATCAGTCATCTATCTCAGCTCTATGTCAGCTCTGCTTAGTTTGAAACTAGATGGCGTTGTGTGTAAGAGTAAAAAAATAATAGTAAGAAACTCAACTTGTTTTCCATATAGGTACATAAATTCCATATACAAAAGTAGGTACTACCAGCAGTATTGGCCAATCCTTGCTTAAAATGTCTTTGCTACCTATTACAAAAAGGTCTTAAGCCAATAATAGAGTTTCCTTAGAGAGTAAATGCAGATAAACTGAATTTGATCATGTATATCCGCTTTCCGTTCCCAGCTCAATTGGCTACCAATTCGTCTACGCCGAAAACTACGCACTGTCACTGTCTTAAGCAACCGATCTTCGCCAACAAATTTAAACTCCTACTTCCAACTTCTATGTAGTGATCACGACAGAAACCTTCGGTCCTCTAATAACCTTCTTCTTCCTAGGCCCCCCCCCCCCTCACCCACACGACTGAGTTTGTTGGCTCATCCTTTATTGTGCAGTCCATTCTTCTCTGGAATGAGCTTCGCCTCGAGGTCAGGATGGCCATCAACGCTTTCTCATTCAAAACTAAAGTGAAGCAGTATTTTGTAAAACAACTGGCAAAATCACGTATGATTGTCATCTACTCTTATATTTATTTAAGTTTATATGTATTTAGGTATATGTATGTAAGTATACATAAGGTGTATGGGTTCTAGTGTATGATAGGCTTATGTACGTGTATTTGATATTATAACTACAAACAAACTTTAACCAAAATGCACCTACTTCCTGTTCTCTCTGCATCACCCTAAGGTCCGCCAATGCACCAAAAGTGCATGATGTATAAATAAATGTAAATACAGTTAGGCAATGACAACTGACAGGGGGGTAACTACAATACACTACAAAGTTAATAAGGATGTGCCTGCACTTGTCAAGGAACGGGTGACGTGTTCCTTCAACACAAAGGGAGGATCCTCCGAACATGCGAGGTGATTATGCCTGGCGGGCCGCGGCCCAACGGTTTAAGTTGGGAAGTTGTATTTATGCTAATCGGCGAGAGAATTCTTCTTATCGCGATACAGGATTAACAATTCTCTTTCAGTAGTTACTCCCTAGTTCGATGTATCTTCGTTAGATGGCGCTGTAGTATGTTTCTGTTTCTTTGTATGTGGGAGTCGCATCAGACTCATGATATTACTTAACATAGCAGACGATGTACAATCTCGTTAGCTGTTTCTAGATAGGTAAAATGGATAAATATTTGAGAAACGTGAATTATAGGTACGCGTTAACCTAGTAATAATAGTATTTTTATCGTAGTTAGTACGATAAAGAGGGACATTGAATAATTTAGTATTTCTAGTGCACTTTTGCTGATATTAAAACTAATTTTGGAAGATTAATGAGACCCCCGTTGAATCAATCTCCCCCCTGATTCTGGAGGGAGGAGGGACTGAAGAGTCGGCAAGACGAAAACCAAAAACAAAGAGAAAATTGCGTAATACCGGTTCTTTGCGAGGCTACGGTATCACTACAGCCGAGCCGGCCACATATTTGCCAAAGTAAGGCCGTCCCATGGTAGCAACTGGTAATTTATTAACTCTACACACTTTGGATGGCCTACACAACATCTTGTTACAAGGCCCGGGGTTCATCCTTAGATCATAACCGATTTCTACACGAAATCATCATCATCATCATTAACAGCCTTTAACAGTCCACTGTTGGACACTGAATTCTTAGAAAGGAGGTTTTGGCCTACTATACCACGCTGGCAAAACTGGTTAGTAAAGGGTTGTGTCAGGTCTTCCTTTTCTTTGCAGTGCTGTTTTCCTGCGTGATTTGCTCCCTAAGCGGCTCTTACGATATTCACCGGATAAATAAGGCCTCCTCATGAAGTCCCATTCCAGGTTGTACCAGATATGTTTACAGGAGAACTGTACAAATAACTATTGGGCTCTTAAGCCAGATTATCCTGATTAATTATTGCCTTGCTTAATAAGGAAATAAATAATGGCATAGGTAATCAGCAATTTAGAAGAACGCTAACTGAAATTTGTTTGGACTGTTTTCTTCTTTGCTGTTATTTGCAGAAGTAGAACAAATCAAAACCGGTTCATGGCATGCTTTTATATACTTTGTAGAAAGTTCTGTAACAACCCCATGATTATTTCTTCCTGGATAAAACCAAACAAGATTTTAGAATATATACATTAGTTTAAGTACTTATTATTTCTCTAATAAGTACTTATTTATTTCTCTAATTTCTGTATACCTATCACCAGTTCAAAATGAATCCATCCAAAGGTTGCCTGGAAGAAATTGCACTAAGCGACAAGGCCGCCCTGTTGTTAATTACTTATCTGTTGTTAATTACTTTATAATGTCGGTAAAACCCTGGTGTACAAATAAAGTATTTATTTATCTATCTAGTTATTAACGTTAATTAAAAACTCAAAGTAATTACAAAAATACATATACTCAGGTATACTTACATTAGTTTAAGAACTTAGTTATTAACGTGGTTATTAAGGTTAAATAAAAAGGTTTATTATTTTTTGCTTTTCGGTTGTTTGGTTATTGGTTTAATTTTTTTTTATTTTTTATTTTTTGTGGCTATAATCTACTAATTACTACATGCTTAATTTTTAATTACATTCAAAATGGCCACTTACCTTTTTTTAACGTGTGGAAACCCACTCGGGCCGTCACCCCACCGGGGTTTGCGACGGGACGGTGTGTGGGAATCGAACACATGAGATAGGAGGGTCCGGGAACAACTGATATTAAGACATCCGGCAAAATAAAATACCTACCTTACTATAGCTATTAACTGTTATATAATCCTACAAAAATCTCTGAGTGAACAATAAATCACCCTATTTTCCCACCCTTAGGGTAGGATTTTTGTTTTCAAATATATATGGAACCATATCCAATAAAAAAAAGAAGTATCAAAATCGGACTCCTCTGTAAAAAGTTATGAGTGGTCATACATAAAAAAAAATCGTGGACTTGAGAAACTCCTCCGTTTTTTCGTGGGTTAAAAAGAGATTGCTTATCTACATAATTACGACTTGGCAACACACATAGATTATAACCACCCACAAACACCCATCCATGATAGCAACACTGGGGTGTTGCTATCATGGATGGGTGTTTGTGCCTCGTATAAATCATAAATGAAATATAAATTTTTATTTCAGCGCCGAGGTAGAGGGGGAAAACGCCGCAGCCGACCGAGAACGTCTACAACACCGCCAGACGATGAGGTACAGACGTACAGAGAAGCCATTCACTAAAAATGTTGCTCCTCACCTCGCCTAGCGACATCTATGGAGTAATAGAAAAAAAATACAATATAGTAGTGACATCTATCGTGTAATAGTAAGAGATTGCAGGATAGTAGTAACATCTCAATCGCAGTCATAAGCAGAAAATGACGAGCATGTACGAGTAGCTTATATAGTAAATATATTCAGTCTAATTGAGAATCCCCTTCCTTATGAAGTCATTTAAAAGATTGCTAACAGTGCTAGTAAGACAAAATAATTTTTCTACATCATGATGGATTGAATAGAATTTTTTATCACTTAATTTTCACCTTTAATAATGGCATTTTATCTTCAAATTTGAGTGGGAATAAACGGAATGTATACACTTCCAAATATATTTTTTTATTCCAATCGGTTCTTAAATAACGGTGTTATCAGGTAACAAACATATACAAATCTAGCTGGCCGTCCCAACTTTGTCTGTCTCCTAAAAGATAAATTTTGCCCATTTGGCAACATTTTCCAGTAATGCTCGGCCTATAACCTGCCCGAATTTTTAATTCGATCCAGTAGTTCCTGAGATCCCATCTTTTTTGGAAATTGGTTAAAACCCATTACGACGAAGTTGTCTGGTGCGAATTTTCTAACTTTTTCTATGTATCCAGGCTGCCAAGAATGGATCTACGACCGAGGTGCCTATAGCAAGGTCTGGCGATTCTGATTCTTCCCATAGGCGTAAAAAGGGAAAGAAAAGTAAAACCTACGACACGTACGAGTCTCCAATGAAGGTATGAACTCTTTCATAATCCTCTATGATGTTTTTTATGATCATCACCATCCATCTGCCTTTAAAAGTCCACTGCTGGACATAGGGATCTCATTAGGAAGGATATTTTGGCCTACTATCCCACACTGGCCAGACGGGTTTTTATAGGGTTTGTTTCAAGTTTTCCTTCTCTTCGAAGTTTAGTTGTCCTGCGTAGTTTTCTGTCGCCTCTTACGACGCCCAGGAGATGAATACGGGTGTCGACTCCGTATTATTATTATATTTAATTCGTCACCACATGGATGTGGACATTTTTGATGATAAAGACCAATAAGCAGATAAGTCACTAGGTGTTAATAATAATGTTAATTTATTTAATTCTCTTTCTCAACCGTTACTTAACCTATGCAATGTTCACCAATAAACATAACACACTTTTGTGAGAGACTGGTATCGGATCTAGATCCAGACAGATTACCAGGCTTTCTACCTTAAAATGAATCACGACAAAGAGTGAACTTCATATTTCGAGCCATGTTCCCGAACCAGGTTGGGGTCGGCTTTAAATCTATTATACCACGGCTGAAGTTTGATTTTTTACGCGGAGCGACTGCTATCAGAGTACCCAAGTACTAGGCGATATCGAAATTCTGTAGAAAGACTGTTGTCGAACTTTTTAGCGCTCGTTAAGTGACTACCACCGCCTACAGACATCTGCGATCCAAGAGACAGAAATGCGTTACCACCCTTTAAGTATCCTATCTTTCTTTATTTTGATTAACTTGCAGGGCTGCATCTCTCGAAAGGAATAAATTTTCCCCATTTTTGTTACATTTTTTTATTGATGCTCGGCTCCTATTGGTCATAGCGTGATGTTACATAGCCCATTTACCGAGGAAGGCTCGGTAAATGGGCTATCCAACAATAAAATACTTTTTCAGTTCGAACCTGTTCGAGTAGTTCCTTAGATAAGTGCGTTCAATGAAACAAACAAATAAACTTTTCAGCTTTATAATACTTATTTTTATAGATATCTTGGATAATTACAGAGCTACGAGTCCAGTTTCGTTGAGATGCCAAAGGACTTATACCAAGCACACTTGCGTCCCGGTGTAATTTTTAGGATACACATGTCGGAAGCCATCTTGAAAATGCAATACAGAAAGTAAGCGGGCCCAGTAATATATTTTCCATACAAAATAATCAGGCTGTGAATAACACGTAAACACGCTTATAATTATCAAAATATTTTAGGGATATTCTTTCCTTACCTCGCTGAAAGGTTTATGTATTTCGAGTGTATGTATGTATATTTTCTTACCAGCTCTGTAGTCTTAACAGCTTGATAGATTTTGGCTTGTGAGGTGTCGTCAGATGCGTCTTAATTGTGAGAATGGCAATGATACAATTATTTATCCCGTAAATAAATATTCATTATTTTTAATTCCTAACGTTTTCTACGTCATTCTTCTACAGCTATTTAACTTATTAAGTTAGTACTTATCCTGAAATAATTTGGTATTTAAATCAACCAATGGACATAGTAACAGAGTCCTTGACAAATTTTAAAGTTTCTACCGAGTGATTTATGAACTTTAGGGAGCTTTATGTAAATTACAATGATTTAGAAGTAAAAAGAACGAAGAACAACTATATAGGAAACGAATTAACAGTATTCTGCGGTAGAGGGTAACAAAACGCTTTAGGAGTTTCTTAAGCTCTACTCGATATGAGTGCCAAGTAAAAACTCTTTGGTGTAAGAATCAGAGACATGCTAAATCCATTCACGAGGTGGTAAATCTTTGAGAACTATTGGCTTATATTGCAAGTGAAACTGCTTACCAACGTGTAAATCTACTTGACGAAAGTTAGCCCAGGCGCGCACTTTTCGCCGCGCGGCAAAACGGCGGCGGTTTTGTCGCCAAGTGCGTGCATTTACTAATGAAACTGCTATTGACAATGCAGTGTAGCGGTTTTCTGCTGTGCAGTTAATATAACCCATAGTACCTACGCGTTGGCCTAATAGTCATGTTTATACACTTTATACCTAACAAGCTGTAGGTAGGTTTTTGATCATTTTCTCTTCGTAGGCCAAAGTATTCAGAATGTTGCCTAAATTTTCTTTATTTCTAGATTATTTCCGTTTTTTATCTATTCTCATTTAAAGACAACATTCATGAACATCGTCGACATATTTAAGACATGTTCTTTTAATATTGTGCTATCACCAGCTACGGAGAAGACAAAGACGAATCTGTAATAGAAGCGGACGTGGAGTACCTCCGGCTGACGCGCAAGGTAATCAACGACGAGATCACCAAGTTTGAGGACCTGCAGTGGCTGAACAGCTGGTTCTTGAACAGATCAGAACTTATTGAAGAGCATATGTGCAACACTAGATATTATACAGTCGGTGAGTCAGACAGAATTGAGACAATTCAAGATTCATCCCGTAAAAACATCACCTGCCTTCGTTCTTCTGAGCCTTTTGACCAAACTAGGTTGGGATTGCGGCTGAACTTTGATTTTTACGCAGAGAGACTGCCATCAGACATACACAAACCAAGTAGTTTAAATTCTGTAGAAAGACAATTCTTGGACTTTAAGGGGTCCTACTACCTGTAACGATTTCCACAGATGTTCGTAGGGCAACCGGGGCAGACGGCTTAACGTGCTCTCCGAGGAACGTAGGGGTCTTAATGTGTTAAGAAATGGTCCTAAAACAATTACCAAAATATTAGACCAAGATAGATAGATAGGTAGGTAGGATACTCTATCCAATTGTAGGTATACAATACCAACTAAAAAATAAAATAAAAAAAATAGTTTTAAAACCCCACGCTTTTTTTCAAATTTATTTTCTATTTTTTAGTTTGGTTTTCTATAGAAAGCGTGTTTATTAGATTTTTTAAACTATAATTATTATTTTTTTATTTTTTTATTTGTGTATTGTCATCGGTCCTCGATATATCTACAAAGTTTGAACAAATTCTGACCGTTTAAAGTCAGTCAAAATCACGCCCAAAGGAGTCGGTTACAAACATACAAACAAACATACAAGTGAAGCTAATATAAAGCGTGTAAAAACAGTAACACAAAGAATAATCTTATCGCAGTCTGCGATCTTTCCAAAACTTTATCTATAACTTTATTTCCGAGATACACGAAATATCATATTTATTTTAAATAAATTTATCCTGAACGGAAATAAAACCCGCCATTTCGATGGATGTAGTCGAATAAAAAGAAAGAAACAAATACATTACGTCTTGATGATGATGATTTTATATTGTGACATCTACAGCCATTCGTTCTTCGGTGACCTTATTCTTTTTCTTCCTTCCAGGTACTCCTCCCACCATGTTCACGACAACTGAGGAGTACATGAAGCGTTTGTGCCTGTTCGATGGTATTTACATAGACCACATACCCTACGTGGTGGGAGAAGACAGCTCCTTGATGGCGGCAGTCGCGCCCCCAGTTCTTCACTGTGATGCTGCTACCTGTACATCAGTACCTTTCATAGACAGGTGAGAAGATCCTAACGAAGACCGTGATTATTTAGGGCCTTTGAGCGCTAACGGCAGACGTCACGGTTTTGATTATCATCCAGGACAAATTCTGTGTTCATACAATCCTTCGTCTCCTATTTAAATCTTTTCCATTTTTATCTTGGCTAAGAAATCACACCTGTATTCGTCTTCTATCTATCTTTATTTATAAATTCATCAAAATTGATTCAGTGATTTTGGTGAGAAATGTATAATAACAGAAAGGATCCTTTTGCATTTATAACATCAGTTTTCGTTGTATTTCTTTTTACAAATAATATAGAGTATACTTCCCGATTGGTCATGCTTAAATTGAAGGGGAAAAAATCCTCAAACCTTACCCCCCCTGAAGTGGAGCATTTGGATGGTTTTTTTTTTCTTATTCAGAATCAATTTCTTAAAGGGTCTCATTTTTTAAATATTTTTAATGTTTTTCTCCTACAACACTAAATAATTATAATTTTCAACGTTTTCCCTATAGTATAATGTTCGACGAACGATTCTCTCGAACGAACGTGCGTACGATGACGCGTTGCCAGGCGAGTTGCCGGGCGCACTGCCGCAACGACCCCGACTGCCTCAAGCGGTGTTCGGACCGCTGCCTGCGATCAGATTAGGCGATAAATAAATTGTGTGATTTGATAGCGGTTTTTCATTTATTATTTACTACCTGTGGTACATTGTGGTTGTATTGTCATGAGAATTTAGTAATAAAACCACCGCAAAAAAGCAGATCAAAACAAACCTTGAAACGGGTTGTATATCTTGTCAAAATTTGAGCTAAGTCGGTGGTAGGTACACAAACCAACTTAACATTATCATGTATTTATAAGATAATAAATAAATATTAAATTTATGTATGTATGTGTGTTTACATATTGTGTATGTATTGGGTATACTTCTGGAATTCTAGCATGTCTAATTTAATATTTTATTTTGCACCTACCGCGTCATATTTCTACATCACCTGAAGGTTGACTGGGATAGAATGCGTCATGGCATTCAGTCCGCCCTTGTACAACATGTGCATTAAGTTTTAAATAAATAAATAAGATTTAACTTTATGCACTTTCTACCAGGTCAGTTCGACTGTTCTGACATGATTGAATAACAAACATCCATTTTCACAATATTTGATTACGATATTTTAAATGGTATATTGAGTAAACAGGTCACGTGATTGTGAGTGACTACCAACCTTGGACAGCAACTCAGAGACGCATATGCGTTGCCACCCTTTCAGTGCCTCCTCCTTTGAGGGAGGGTTGAGATGGAGGCTAAAAAGAATTGCTTTTATCAGTTTTCTGTGAGGCTGTGGTATCACTCTGGTAGCCGGCCCATGAACCGAAGCATGAACTCACTCACAGGACCCAGGGCAAATATCATGTGAGAAGCACGATCATTTATTCCGAATTTGGATATAATTTACCTAAAATATGTATGTACTCGTATTTAGAATTATTTAAGTATGTTTATCAGCATTCTGATTACCATAGTACGGATCTGCCTAGTCTATTTTGCTATTTGATAAAACAAAGATTATTGCTATTGTGTGTTGATCTATGACTTTAGAGTCCACATAAATGGCGATTTCATACCTATTTTTTTTTCACTAAAGATTTTCGGAGTTTGAGTTTAGGATCAGATAGCCATGTGTGAGATGTTTGAAATCATTACTATTTATTAATATTCCCAAAATGATTGACTTCGGTAGGTAATACACATATTATTGGTGTGATGAGTCTTTAGCAAACTTAACTTACCTATCCTAAGAACATTACGCAATAGGAATAAAATAAAATTCAAAATAAAACGAAATAAATGTATATTTATGTAAATATATTTCAGTTTAACAATAAACACATTGCTAATACACTTTATAACATATTATTTGTACATATTTATTGCGTTCATACAACCCACATTACGTCATAAAATATTTTTACATTATATATATCAAATAAGTTGAATATTTTGGTCAATTCGATATCAACATCTCTTGTGTATAATATAATCAAAAAATCCATTTTGAATTTCATTGATAAATTATCTGCAGCCGTATTTCCTAAGGTACCTCAAGGGTTAGGGGATAGTATGGCAGCCTGATCGCACTAAAAATTTGATCGGGCCGCAATATCTGGATAGGCTGATAGGCAGGGAGAAGCCACTGGCATTCCCTGCGATAGGGCCTAGTTAGGTGCAGCGTCGATCTGGGGGGACCTGAAATCACATGGCCCGGGTTCTCCCCAGAGAAGGGCGCCTAAGGCTGGCCGTCGGGGTGGTTTTTAGTGGAAACACCACATACTCCTGGCTCCCATATCCCTAAGGAGCCGGAGATCGGAAAGGATTTTCCACCACACCGTGAAGATCTTTTTTAGGCTATAGGAGGCTATCGAGCAGACAGTTTTTCTGATGTTCAGTGACTACCGCCGTAAATGGACACACTCGGTGAGAAGCAACAAAAGAATTGCTGAACACCGGTTTGCTGTGAGGCTGTGGGATCACTCCAATCGAGCTAACCCAAATGTGCTGAGGCTCTTCCACGGTTACTTACTTAGAGGGTAGACAAGGTAATCGAAGTGGGAGTTCTCTCGCTCGATAGCCTGATTGCGGCTATCGTGCGGAGCGAGAGTGCGTGGAACTCTGCCGTCTCCTTCTGCGAGCAAGTTATGCTCGCGAAGGAGACGGCGGAGCGGGACCGGGAGAGGTTTAGGACTACCGCAGGCGACTCAGGCGCCGGAGGTCGCAGAACGACCTCCGTCCTCCATAAGCGCAGGCCTGGGGGTGACAGGTGAGGCCATCTGTCACCCTAGCAGAAGCAAGCCGGGGTGGCGGCGAGCGCGTTGCGAAGCGCGCTCGCTTCCAGGGAGAACACACATGTTCCACAGGGAACATGGGGTTCCCACACGGGGGGGGGGTCGTCTACTCGTCTGTAGATGACCCGAGGTATGTCGGGGCACCAGGGACTTCCTTTCTAGGGTATACCTGGTTCCCCGGCTATTAGTACCCGAGACGGCGTGCGGTTTTAGTCGGTTCGAGTCCGCCATGCCACCGACAGGTGGTATCCGAGGGGATTTCCACACGGAAAAAAAAAAAAAAGGGTAGACAAGGTATTTATCACTGGTCTAATAACTAGAGACAAAGTGGAGGGATCTAGTGCTGAGAGATATGAGACTGTAACGTGAAGGAGAAAAATAAAGCAGAGTGACCCAACATCATGTGGGATGATAACTGGCAAAATTGAGATACAGCTAAAAGAATTACACTAAAGATCTTCTCTATGCCGATCTCTCTCCTCAACACAAGGCAATTCAAGTTACTAAACTTGTATGTTGAGGGTACACAAGTTATTTATCGCTCGCTGGTCTAACAACCAGGGACAAACCAGAGACAAAGTGGAGGGATCTAGTGCTGAGAGATATGAGACTGTAACGTGAAGGAGGAAAATAAAGCAGACTGACCCCATAAACTCGGGTTGATAACTTAAAAAATTACAATAAAGATCTTCTGTATACCGATCTCTCTCCTCAACACAAGGCAATTCAAGTTCCTAAACTTGTATGTTGAGAATAAGAGGCGGTAAGTGCTATGTTATCGCAAAAACCAAGTCCAAAAAAACTTATTTAAGCGCCATCTACTGTTGTATAGCGCAATGAAAGTTTTTACGTGTAAATAATAAATTCGCTGCTCGCCAGGCACGTTCAACACGCGTGGTGGGCGAATCCCTTTGTTTAGAAGAAATAAAATCAATTTCTCTACATTTTATTCGGTCCGTATCATATCTGCCTCAGGAAGTAGACTTTTAAAGATTTTCTTTGCGAATTAGCACTGACGGCTACTTCTTTGCTAAGTAGTACCCCTGAAGTCTTATCCAATGAAAAGATCAAAAAATACCATCAGACTTATTGGAACTTAATCATTTTTGGAGGCCATAGGGTACCCTAATCAACTCTTTCAATGACATACTCGTCAATAACATTACTTTTATCACCCAAACAATCCCCCACAGTATCCCTAGGTCTTATCACTAAATTAACCTTCTCCATTAATTCTTCGCCAACAACTGCGTTGGTTTTCTGCCGCCCGGGTCGTTGAGGGGGGGTTACGATGTCGTGTTGCCTGAGGAGGTGCTTCTTCCAGTAGCAGCGGCGTGTAAAACACGCATGACATACCTCACACTCGAACCTAGGAACGCTATGTCATTATTAGTGTTAGACTTGGAAGACGCGTCATATAAAACTATACTAATACCTAAGTAAATGGCAAGTAAAACTTACTTTTAATATCATCATTACTAGCGCCATCTCTTCTTAAGGGAACTAAGACACAGGCCTGATTTGTGAGTCAATTCTAGTAGATGGCGCTGTCGCCTATAAGTGAGATCGTAAAGTTGTACTGCAAGGTTGAAAAAAAAAAAAAAAAAAAGGGGGATCTAACACATGATATTTTCATACTAATTAAATTCTGATGACACCTTTTCTCTCGCTTTCCTAAAATCTGTTTTTAAAGTTTACTTTAATATATGAATATACTGACCTCTTAATATCGTTATGTGTATCAATATGTCTGTTAAGCTTGGTCCTGTCGAAGAATGTCCTGCGACAGATGCTGCACTCGAAGGGACGCTGTTTCATGTGATTACGACGCGTGTGCATGGTCAGGTTCGAAGACGTGTAGTAAGAGGCTGTACAGTACTCACATTGGTACATTTTTATACCTGAAAACAAAACAACAAAAAGTTTGTGTGATGTTTAAGAGAGAGTACAACTCTTTTTTTAAACTCTACTTGTACTATGGCAGGACTGTTGGTTAATTACCCTGACTGCTAGGTCGCAGGTCGTGGGTTCAACTCCCACCCAAGACAATAAATAACTGTGTGATGAGCACTGTCATTTTTTTTGTTTTTTTTTTTACCACTTTCACACAACGCCATTTAATCCCAAACCAAGCAGAGCTCGTACTATGGGTACTACACAACTGGTATACATACATATTTACTTTTTTGTATATACGTACATATTATCATACATAGAAACACCCAGACCAAATCAAACATTAAATGTTCATGCACACAAATGTTTGACTTGAGCGGGAAACGAACCCGCAACCTTTTGAATAGCAGTCCGTTACACAAACCACTACGCCAATCGGTCGTCATGAGTGTAATTTAGCTACCATCGGTGGTATGAGTGTAATTTACCAAAAATATGTATGTATGTATTTAGAAATATTTAAGTATGTTTATCAGCAGACTGGTTACTCCAGCACAGACTCTGCCTAGTTTGGGATCAGACGGCCGTAAGTGTTGCAAGTTATTTTTATTATTGCACTTCAAGAGTACATGTAAACCAAGGTCTTTAATCCGAACTCTTTTATAAACACTAACGTAGCAAACAAGATTAAAGGTGGCGATTCGAAAAAATGTCGATAAATGTGCTTGAACTATGTGTTCTTGTGGGAATTGTGTGTATTTCACAAAATCAATGTAAAATAAATATGTGAATAAACATTCGTCTCCACTTCATGCCTTATCCCACTAGCAAATTCCAAGTCCATTGCTTTGTAAATACGACTTTAAATCATGCGTGTAAGGTTGAATTTGCAAAGTATTATGCATATATATATCTATAAGCGGCGGTAGCCTAGTGGCATTGGACTTGCGATCAAGAGGTCGTGAGTTCGAATCCTGACCAGTACACTACCGGCGTGAACCCACTCCTAACACAAGCAATTTAGCTTAGCTGGAGGGGGTTAACGGGAATACTAGTAATTTCGGTTGCTAGTAAACATGAAAAAAAAGTACTTATGCATAATTGGCGACGTTTAGGCTTTAGCTTTGTTCCGGACTATGCATCTAATTACATTGTTGATCGAAGTATAAGAGCCATCAAAGCATGCAATCCTAGAGTTACTGCAATTTAGCTCCTTTTTACCCGCTTTATATTAGCTTCACTTGTATGTTTGTTTGTAACCGACTTCTTTGGGCTTGATTTTGACTGACTTTAAACGGTCAGAATTCGTTTAAACTTTGTAAATATATAGAGGACCGATGACAAAACACAAATTAAAAAAAAAATAGTTTAAAAAAACTAAAAAAACACGCTTTTTATTGAAAACTAAACTAACAAATAGAAAATAAATTTTAATAAATTTGAAAAAAAGCGTTGGGACCTGTTGTCAATAGTAAAAAGCACCCTACGCTTTTTTTTCAAGATTATATGAAATACGTCTGTAACAGACCCACATAATGAAGACCTATGTGATAGCTAGTAGGACGTTCGATTGTCAAGTCAAGGATAACAAGGTCGACGCCTGCTAACTGCAAATATATTTATGCGGCATACGTCCTATTTCTATGTTGTTCATTATTTCTATGTGTCGCAGTACGATCCGTTAATCCAGAGATTATGGGTTCCATTCCCACCCAGGACATATAATTGTGTGATAAGCACAATCATTTGTTGTCATTGTCATCACCAGCCTTTAGTAAACCACTGTTGGACATAGACTCCTTAGAGAGAAGGTTTTGGCCTACTATACCACACTGGCCAGACGGGTTGGTTAGTCAAGTTTTCTTTCTCTTTGCAGTGCTGCTGTCCTTTTTTTTTGTTTTTTATGGTATAAAGGCGCAAACGAGCAGACGGGTCACCATGCACACCTGCAACTTAGGAGTCACAAATGCGTTGCCGCCCTTGGAGTTCCTCTCGCTCGAGTGAGCGGGAAGGGGGATTTGGGCTCCGGTAACCTCACTCACTCAGCAAAAGATTTGCTTAACACCGATTTTCTGTGAGGCCGTGGTATCACTCCGGTCGGGCCGGCCCATGCGTGCCGAAGCATTCCGCTTATCCTATATATCCCTTTAATCTTAATCCGTCACCACACAGACAGTAAATAGAAGAATAATAATTATAAATTATACTCACCGGTGTGTATGCGAATATGCTTAACGAGATCGTGTTTATGCGATGTTTTATAGTCGCATTGATCGCACGCGAACTGTGGGGGGAGGTGGGACTTGACATGCGTGTAATGGGACGCTCGGTGCACGAACATCTTGCCACAGATCTGGGGGATGAACGAATTATTCACAGTTGTCATCTATACTAATATTATAAAGCTGAAGACTTTGTTTGTTTGTTTGTTTGTTTGTTTGTTTGAACGCGCTAATCTCAGGAACTACTGGTCCGATTTGAAAAATTCTTTCAGTGTTAGATAGCCCATTTATCGAGGAAGGCTATAGGCTATATATCATCACGCTAAGACCAATAGGAGCGGAGCACCAATGAAGAATGTTTTAAAAACGGAGAAAATTTATTACTATTGAGAGACGCAGACGAAGTTGCGCGGGTCAGCTAGTCAAATATATATGTTAATAATAATATATTCGACTGCACGCATGGCGTACTGGTTTAAGCGGTCGAGACGCCGCTTCCTACTATGCCGAGTGTTGTGGGTTCAATCCCCATATGGGACGACACTTTGTGTGATCCACAAATTGTTGTTCTGAGTCTAGGTGTTCTTTGTGTCCGTTTCATGTATGTTTGTAAAGCCCCCGGGGACACAGGATATATTCCTAATGCGTTAGTTGTCTTTTAAAAAAAATAATTAAAAATAATAATAAATATAATAATAATAAGTTGACACATCCCACACACGGCCATCTGTTCTCAAACTAGTCAGAGGCGATTAACGTTATTTTATTATAACATTAAAACAGTGCATTTTCGGTCACCATTCCGTTCGGTTGTACTCACACCATCTAACCATACCATTGTAGATTTAGTTAAGTTAATATAAACCAGGTTGGCTTAAATCTTTTATTTTCCCTGTACAGTAACCATAACCCGTACACTAGTGATAAACATATATTTCTAAATACATGCCAAATAGATACATTTCACATAGACTCACAACAAATGATCGTGCTCACCACACAATATTTGTCCTAGGTGGGAATCGAAACCCTTAGCAGTCAGGGTCACTAACCAGTAGTCCAACAGGTCCGTCTTTGTACGAATCTATAATATATATGTATTCAGAAATATATAAGTATGTTTATCAGCAGTCTGGTTACCATAGTACAGGCTCTGCCTAGTTTCTGATCAGACGACCATGTGTGAGTTGTGTGAGCTTATTATTTTTACTGACCTCACAAACCCAGTGGTTACTGTCCTTGTGGAGCGCCTTCTTGTGATCATCACACTGCTGCTTGTTCGTGAACTTGATATTACAAGGCTCGCAGTGCAACTTCTTGAATTTATACTTTTTCAATGGCCGGGGAGCGGCGGTCGCTGACTTCGGACGGCCCACGCGCTTCGGCGGTTGTTTTTCCAGGACACTGTAGAACAGATATGTTTGTTAAACAGAAGAATTAATACCCAGAGACTGTAAGCGCATTTGCCTTCTAGAAAACCGAGGTAATCGAATGGTAACAATGGGGGTAATATTGTTAGGCGTAGGTATATGATTATATAGTACAGGCTCTGCATAGTTTGGGTTTAGACTGCTGTGTGTGAGATGTGGGAAGTTATTATAATTACTATAGCCAGGATTAACATTCTATAACAAACCTCTGCGCTGCTTCTTTCTTTTTTAGCCGTTCTTTTCTTCTTACATTATGTGTTAACACAGGTTCCCAATCCACTTCCTCTTTGACCTGTAACAAATTATGTTTCTTTATCATAATAATAATAATAAGCCTTCTATCCTGAACTACTTTCTTCTTTCTTTGTATTGTGGTTGTCTCTTTCGTTATAAAATATCTCGGAGTTCAGTGTGCCTCTTGGCAAAGGCCTCCTCTAACAATTTCCATTGTACTCTGTCTCTAGCAACCCTTCTCCATTTTGGGCCTGCCGTCAGTTTTAGTTCATCTTCCCATCTCTTGCTTTGTCCTCCTCTGTTCCTTCTCCCATCTCTAGGGTACCAGTCTGTTATGATGTTGCTCCACTTCTCTTGTGTACCGCGCAGCATGTGCCCAGTCCATCTCCACTTCAAACTATCTATTCTAGTAAGTACGTCTGTGACTTTTGTCTTACTTCTTATGACGGTGTTTCGTATCTTATTTTGTTTCTTAATACCTATCATACTTCGTTCCATAGCTCTTTGGCAGTGTTCCAGCATGTTTCTGTGATGTTTCGTAAGAGCCCAGGTTTCACACCCATATGTAATACATGGGAGAACGCAGGTATTGAAGACCTTCCTTTTGATACCTATACTGAGATCTGTGGATTTCATGATCTCTTTCAGTGACCAGTATCTTTTCCATCCGTTAGCTATTCGTCTTTTGATTTCTTTTGTAGTTGTGTCTGTATGTGAGATGATTTGTCCTAAATAGATATATTCATCTACATATTCAACAGGTTGGTTGTTAATTTTTATTTCATATTTGTTTGAATTCGTTAATAGCTTTGTTTTGTTTATATTCATAAGTAAGCCCACTTTCTCACTCTCCTTATTTAGATCTTGTATCATTTCTTCTAGGATCCCTGGCTGTTCTTCAAACAAAACAATATCGTCAGCGAATCTAAGATGGTTTAATTTTTGACCATCTATATTTAGTCCATGGTGGTCCCAGATTAGCTTTCGAAATATGTTTTCCAGCACCGCCGAGAACAGCTTTGGGGACATCGGGTCGCCCTGTCTGACGCCTCTTTTTACTTGGAATGTCTCACCCAAGGTTTCCAGTTGTACTCTTGCCTTACTGTTGGAGTAAATGTTTTTAATGGTGTTTATGTACACTGTCGGGATTCCCTGGTTTCGTAAGCTTTCCCATATGGCTGTGTGGCTAATGCTGTCAAATGCCTTAGAATAATCAATAAAAGCCATATATAGTGATTTGTTGTACTCCTTGTATTTTTCCATAATTTGCTTGACTGTGTGGATGTGATCTATTGTGGAGAAGTTTTTCCTAAAGCCAGCTTGTTCCTTCGGTTGGTTTTCATCAAGTATGTTGCTTATTCGACTTAAAATAATTTTGGAGAAAATTTTATATATGTTAGACATCAGACTTATTGGTCTGTAGTTCCCTATGTCGTCTTTTTGTCCTTTCTTATGTATGAGAATGATGTGGGATGTCTCCCATTGATCTGAAATCTGTCCCGATCTCAGGATTCCGTTGAAGATTTTAGTTAAAATGGGGACCAGTTCTTCTACAGTTCCTCTCAGTAGCTCGTTTGTAATTTTATCTGGACCTGGTGCTTTGTCTAACTTTTGGCTTAGTATGGCTTTCCTAGTTTCACTGGGTAATATGTCAGGTTCTGGGTTTACTAAGAGCAGATTATAATTCAGGGTTTCTCGACTTAAATGTGTAGTGGTGTCTTGGTTGGAATAAAGATTGCGGTAGAATTTTGTAGCTATTCTATTTATGTTCTTTCGGCCTGTTACGTTTTTTTGGTTGTTTTTCAATTTCGGGATCCATTGGTTTGATTCTCGGAGTTCTTTTAAAGCTTTTCTAGTTCCTCCTGTCCTCGCTATATGTTTTTCTAGGGTTTGCAACCTTTTGACTTTCCTGTCCTTTTTGATGCCTTCTTTGATTTTTTTGCTTAAGTTAGTTATTTTTTGGATGTTCTGTTTCCTTATTTTGCAAACTTTTGTAAACTTTGTAAACTTTTCCTTTCTTTTATAAGTTGTAGTGTTGAATTACTTAACTTGTATTTATGTTGTGTCCTTTTTTGGTCTCTTTGACATGTAATTTTGTTTTGTAGTTTGTTGTAGCTTGATTTTACCTCTATTGCATCGGTTCCTGATAGTTCTCTGCTGAGTATTGACAAGGAGTTCTGCATTGTTTTGTTGGGTTCTGTGCTACATGTCAGGAGTGTGTCAAGTATAGCAAACTTTCTGGATCCTTTGGGTGGTATAGTCTTGAGTGACGCCCTTACCATGCGGTGGTCGGTATTAAAGTTTAATTTTGATATGACTGCTGTGTCTGTAAATAGATTTGGGTGGCTGCTTATAATATAATCTATTTCGTTTCTATGATTCCTGCCTGGAGAGATCCAGGTCCACTTGCTGTTTTTGTTTTTCTTAAAAATACTATTTAGGAGGGTTAGATTGTGTTCTAATAGGAATTCAACCAGTCTTTGCCCATTTTTGCTTCTTTTGCCGTAGCCAAAGTTTCCCAACACATATTCTTCTTTACATTGTTTTATTCCCACTTGCGCATTAAAATCTCCCATTACTATAATCATGTTTTCTGAGTAATTACTTATAATAGCTTGGGATAGGTCATTGTAAAAAGACTCATGTTTAAGTTCATTTGCTTGCTCTGTAGGAGCATAGGCTTGGATTATTGTCCATGTTTTTTTGAAGCTAGGTAATTTGATGTTGAGTATGGCAGTTCGGTCACTAATTCCAATGAATTCTATTATTTGTTCTTTTAGGTGCTTTTTAACTATGAATCCGACCCCTCCTTGTCCCTCGATGTCTCCTTTGTTGAATAATATGAAGCCCTGGTGCTCTTCAATATATTCTCCTGTTCTTCTCATTTCACTAATGCCTAAAATATCCCATTTTAGGTCCTTCAATGCTTCTTCAAGTTCTGATAAAGATTCTGGTGTTCGTAAAGTTCTGGTATTTAGAGTTGCTATGTATAGCTTGTTCTCATTCCTTTTGTTTTTTATTCTTGTTAGAGGGTGATGGTCTAAGTCTTCCGCGGGGACCAGCCGTGGTGGAAGACATTTTGTTGATGGTTTGTGTATATAATTAATTGTTGGTGTATTTATCATTTGATTCCGGTGGTCCGGGGGCATATTTAGTTTTTTGAGAGATTTATTTGCGGATCAGAGCTTGCTCTTTCTACATAGTTTAGCATGTTGGGTCTTATGGTTTCTCTAGTATGTGTTTTGGGTAGTGTGGTTGATGGATTGTTCAGTGTTGCTTTTTTGTTGGTTTTCTTTTCTGTTGGTGCCTTTGGTGAGTCAGAAGTTTCTCTTTTCCTTTTCTCTCTATTTTCTTTTGGCTTCTTTACGATGAGCTTGTCATACTTTATATATGCGATATTTCCTTTCTTTATTTCTTCTTCTACTTGCGGCTGTAACTGTTTGCGTTTGTCTAGGATTTCTTTGGGGTAGTCCTCTTTGATGTTGACGCCTTGTGGAAGGTTAGGCTTACTTTTCAGTATAAGATGTTTTTTCCATTGAGTTGTGATAGTGACTATCACTGGACGGTTTTTATTTTTTGTTTTCTGCCCAATTCTATATACTTTGCTAATTTCTTGGCTATCTAAATGAACTCCCATACTCACAATTATTTCTTTGATAAAATCCACTAATTCCGTTTCCAATTTAATATTTTCATTGATTCCAAAAAAGACAAGATTGTTTTTTCTCTTTTCTATCTCTGCTCTTTTAAGTTTAGATTCAAGTTCTGAAATTTTGTCCTTGAGTTTAGTATTTTCCTCCATGATAGTTTTCATTTTCTCGTCTAAAGCTTCCATGACGCTCTTAGTTACGGAGTGTGTTATGAGTTCGGTTTGATTTTTAAGTTTCTCGTCGAGTTTGTTTAAAAGTAGTTCCATGTTTTTATCCATGACTAGGGAAATTTCGTTTCTTGTGTGGTATCACTGGTTGGTAGCTTTTATTTTTCTTGCGTGGCAACACTACTGTTGGCAATGTCACCGTCAAGTCACTGTCACACTGGCGTAATGTTGGTATTAAACTGAGACGAGTCTATTGTCTATGACCGTGACTAATTTTTAAATTATATTTCCGAGGGTGTTCTTTCAACAATTATCGCACGAATTTTAGCACTCTTATTGTGTTCTTTCACTAGTAGTGGCTAATGAGCCTCGTTTTAATGTTTTTACGTTTCACAGCACGAAAATGTTGCTTTAAAACACAATTTTACGATTAAAATCCGCGGACGACGTTGACGTACATGTTTTCAGTTTGACCGCCGGAACCGGAATCCTTTCTTTATCATAAATACTGTTAATTCTTTTTCACATATTAATATTTACATTTTCCATTTGTTTACCATCTGTTATTGTACACTTTGTGCGTTTTCATACATAATTTTAATTATATTTAAAAAAAGACTAAACAAATTAGTATTGGTAACCAATTTTTTTAATTACAGATACAACTCCCATATTAGGAATATAATCTGTGTCGCAGGGGACTTTATAAACATACATGAAACGGACACAGTCCCTTATGGGAATCGATCCAACAACACTCAGCGTTAGTAATAAGCGGCGTGGCGACCGCTAAAACCACTACGACATTCGTGCAGTCAAGAATATATTATAATTTGATGTTGCCTACATCTAAAGTTCGTTCATCGTTCCACGCGGCAATACATTCATCACTATCAGTAGAATAATTGGTACTCCACCACTGAGCGCTTTTCAAGAAACGTTTACCTCGCACAATCAATCTGTAGAACAAGTTGTCGCCTGCGGTATTAAGGCAGATTTAAGAAAATTCCTACCTCAAAGGCTTTTTTGTGACTCCTGAGTTGCAGGCGTTCATGGGCGGGGGTAGTCGCTTTCCATCAGGTGACCCGTCTGCTCGTAAGCCTTCAATTTCATAAAAAAAGATTCGGCAAGAAATTCTAAAATTATGGTTTTTAAATGCAAAAAAAGACGAACTATATGATATAAATAATATATTTTTTTAAATACGCATTTTTGGTTTTTTACTTTCACATGCGCTTACTACGAGTTTATCTTGCTCCGTTGTTGTAAGTAATTAACTACAGAGACCATACATTGAATTTTTTGACATATATTTACAGAAACATTCAATATAATGATTGCTTATTAAATGCTTGAGTGCAAAGTATATTGCACTGTCTGGTGGGAATAGCGCGTCAAATACGCAATATTTGTTAGGAAAACTGTATATATATATATATAATATATAATATATATAATATAATATATAATATATATAATATAATATATAATAATAATATATATAATATATATTCTACCACATACACACAAGGCCATCTAGTCCCAAACTAAGCAGAGCTTGTACTATGGGTACTAGACAACTGATATAAATACATATATACTTTTTTTTTTGTAAATACATACATATTATACATAGAAACACCCAGACCAAATCAAACATCAAACGTTCATGCACACAAAATGTTTGACTTGAGCGGGAATCGAACTTGTTTGAATTATATATCATAGTATAATTATAATATTTTTGGACATCTGACACATAATGCCATCTAGTTTCAAACTAAGCATAGCTTGTACAACAAAAGCTAGATTGACTGACAATGTACTTTTATACTTTTTATTTATTGAAGATTACAGATCTGGCATGGAACTACATCATCTACACACAATTATATATGTCATCATTGTGGTTATTTTGTGTGATACCACGACCTCATAGAAAACCCGTGAAAATCACTTATTTTCACCGAGTTATTGAGGTTACAGGAGCCCAAACCCTGCACCCCCTTGGCTCTGACCCCCTACTTGACTTGCAGGTGTTGTGTATGTAACGGTGACAGTGTCACAAATTCCATGGTTTTTTTCCATCACAAAAAATACATTATTTTGTTTGTTGTTCTCTACCAAAATATCTTTTATGACAGATGTGAGATGGAACTGAATTAAGATTGAACTTTTATTACAAGAATAGGCCCTCTGATTACTTAATTCAAACTTACCTTTTCTTCAAACTCATCTTCGTATTCCATATGCACATCAAATTCTTCATCGGTGATTTCAGGTACTTCAGCCTTTATGTCTGTATCTATGACTAATTTTCGGAATGTCTTGTCAGCCAGAATGCATGATGTTTTAAACTTGTATGCAACGGTGAGATTTTTCAGACACTGTGTGCATATTTTTGTTGGAAACCCATCTTCTTTTTTTAACTGCAAAAGATTTTCCTTTTAAATTACACATACCTAGCAATCACCTAGGGGTACTTAACAATATACTATATTGTAGTACTTGTATATATTATTACTATTCTATAATGCACTAGCAGATCACAGATCTGATATATATATATTTACATACATACAGAAGTCATAGCAAAGGTTCTCAAACAAAACCTCTTATTTAAGAAGAATAATTATAGGTATACTCACCGTTATACCAGTGCAAAATAGTATTTCTTGGATAATATGCTCGCTCTCTGTCTCAAAAATACCACTCATGTTTGAGTTACGCAGCATACATATCCTACAGGAGTCTACAAATGCAGCGATATCCATTTTTTTAATACGTATGACTTTATTCTTTGCATCGCGTATCTCCATGATGAATACAGTTAATTCAACATTGTATTTAAATAAAATTGTAGATCATCTCAATCTAATTGGAAAACACATCGCTGTACAAAAAAATCGTACATATATGTTTTTATTGAATTTACTTTTTCAAATAAACAGGATACTGAATATAGTATATAATGAGTTATCATTATACTAGAAATGATACACATGTAACAAAAGGTTTAATACAAAACTAAATCAAATCTTTAATCACATAAAATATGTATACACACAGCCAAACAGAAAATTAACTCATGAGATAAAACTGACTAAACTGACAAATAAAATTGACAATTCCACAATGAAAATATTGCATTGACGATTAATTGACATCAACTTTCCTTTGATCATGACAATTACATCAATTGCACATTAGTAGTATTACTGCAAAATTACAGAAAACCCTATTTTCCTCATAATAAAATAGAAAAAAAATATAGAAAACTATTTCAATAATTTTTTGCTAATTTTTACTTGAAATGTGTTTAAAAGAAAAGTAATTTTTAAGTTATTTTACTGCAGTAACTAAGCGTAACTCAAGGAGACGTTCAAAGTATTTAATTGATTTAAAGCCTTTTTCATTAAACATTTGTTTTGAGGTGATTAGAAAGCCAACCATATAATATGATTGCATACTAAAAATAAAAATCAGTCTTATGTCTAATTAAATCCTCCTACTTTTATAGCCAAAATATTACAAGCTCATAAATATGTTTTAGCATTTCGAACTGTCCCTGGAAATGGCCGCGCTGTAAACGTCAATCGAGGTGCTATCGGCTTGATATTCGGTTGCTATATCATCGAATTATTATTCTTTAGATTAGTTATCAGTGACTTAATAGTGATATAAACCAGTGCGTTCCCGGCCAAAGTATATCGGTAAGTTTTCATTTAATTCTTTTATGTATATTATCTTGAAAATTGATTAGATGAGTAATATTATATCGGCATTTGAATGAAGATTTATACGAATTGATCGTATAATTCGATTGCAAGACGATTGCGGTATTCGTCCATGACTGCGACATGACTATTTTAGCTTGAGGATATGTGTTTTATAGTATATTTTTAAATTAATTCGTTGAAACACGTTTATCGTTATCATTCCAACTGGATCTTCGTCGATTTCTAGTAAGAAGTCCAGTTTTGTACTAATTAACATTTATGCCACAAAACGCGAGGCATTTGTAGATTTTACCGCTACTTTGCCTTAATGTAAATACTGTTATGTAGACGACATGGAAAATATTGCATAAGTTTGAATTATTTATGAATTTTAATTATTCTGCATATATATCTAATAAGACTGCCCTGTTTTTAAATCATAGCATAACGAAACCTGAAGCTGTAGCTTAACGATTTTTTTCTGTAATCCTTATTTGTTAACTTTTTTTAATTGTAATATGAAAATATCACAAAATCATGGTATGTTATTTTGACACATAATATATTAATTACACTTTTAAACATACATTACACTTAGTGTAAAAGTAAAAATAGTAGACCACTGATACAGGGACCAAGGCGGATAGGGCGCCAAGGATAGAAACCCCTCAATTTATGGCCTGTGTATAGGGCCATCTAACCTGAGCCTCTTAAGGTGCTTGTCGAGGCTCTTGGTTATGAAACCATGATTACTGAATCCACATATTGACAATCTAGTTGAAAAAGGAAAACAAATATTTTATTTGGTTTTAAGAGATTCTCGTCATAACTCGTCTCGATATCAACAATGATTGCTTGGCTCTTATCTAACTATTACCACAATATCAGGCTTATTGGAAACAATAGTCCCGCCTCTGATAATAGATCCATCCTAATACAACATGGTCCGACCATTCTTGAGAACTGGGTCAGGCACATACGTGTAGTATGGCACCTCCTGATTCACAAGTTTGTATTTGAGCAAGCAATACATAGTGTATATGGTAAAGAACATTTCATACACAATGTAATTTGACATTTACAAATATATTACATAAGACTGGAAACTATATTACACCTGACAAGGCTATAATACTGCATTTTCATCTGCAGTGCATTTCTATAATCATCCTGAGCTCCATATCAAAATGATTGATAGATTTCACACTTGCTTTTACAATCACTGCTAAGCTCCTAACATTTATAGTGCAATATTAAAGATCATATCTATTTATATAAAGGCTTAGGAATACTAAAGGCATTTTTATTTCTTTATCTATTGGGAAGCTTGTTTAGCTCGGATTTTTCATAATTATTAAGAGAGTACCTTCATACACATTAATGGAGTTCCATATCTGGAAAATGTATTTATTTTCATACAAAGTCATTATTGTTGCAATTGTTACTTTTTAAAACAAGTAGTCATATAAACAGAACTCTACACTTCACGTGGCTGGACAGACACACATTTGTTTTAAAATTTTATTTGAGGGTCATAGAATACCCGTAAAATATCTAATTTCACGTCTTTCGTTCGTAACGACCTTCATAGGCCTTGATATATGTTATCACATTTCCTAGTGTCGTCCAGAGGACGCAGCGTCTTTCACACGACATTGTGAGGGTCATGGGTTATCAGGACAGGTTGAGTGTCGTGAACAGTATATTATAGTCCAGATGTGGGTCATGTTTGAATGAAGGGGAAATAAAAGCTAAGCCTTTTGTTTTTTTGAGGTGGAATCCTCGTTTATGGTAAGATACACAGATCCGATATTCTAGATGTTGCTATGTAATATGTTTCAAATTGGCCTGACCACTTTGGACCCCTTGAAAGAGGAGCACTCAAAGGGTGCAACGCAATTGTCTCTTTAGGTTCGTGGGCGGCGGTAGCCACTTGACATCAGGTGATCTGTCTGCTATTTTGCCCCTATGGCATAAAAAAGTAAGCCGTCGCGGGAAGTCTGGCAGATAATATGCATGAAAATTATTTTATAGAAATAATGAGTAGAAAAAGATAGCTTATAAAAGAAAGTAAAAAAATAGAATATACAGATTTTTCATAGCGACGCGTCGCTATGCCATAAGCCAGTCTGACCCCTTAAAGTAGATGTTTCACCTTAAAAAATAGTATTATTTTTCCATGCGCTATACTCAAACCGCCGTTAGCTTGGCCCGCCCCATGATTTGCGGGACGCGGGGCGGAGATACTCTCAACCAATTAGCTAGTGTGTGGCTGTAGCGTTATATTTATTAAAACATACATACGGTATTATTTTGCAACATAGAAAATTTGCCGACTTTGCGTCACAAAAAGAGTTAATAAATGTTTCCTTTTGTTTTTTTATTTTAAATTAGTTGATTCATATACAGTAGAAGTGTGGTGACGGACTAAGAATATGGAGTATTCGATGTATACCAACCCTATTCATCCCGTGGGTGTCGTAAAGAGTCGACTAAGGGAGCAAACTACGCAGGACTGTGAATAGCACTGCAAAGAGAAAGAAAACTTGAAACAAACTCTATACCAACCCGTCTGGCCATCGTCGTATAATCGGCCAAAACCTAATTACCAAGGAGAGGCCTATGTGCAGCAGTGAACTACTAAAGACTGTTGATGATGATGATGATGAGAAGTTGTCGTTTGGCTCGCTTTAAATTTGTCAAAAAGATGTTGTCAAAAAATTTGGCCTACCATTGAGTACTCTGTCAACAATATTCAAAAACGAGAAAAACATAAAAAAAAGGTTAAAGAAAGAATCTAAACCTTTACAACTTTATTTCCTTACAAAGTCTCCCTTGAAATTCGGCTTACAGAGGTTCTACTCTTTAAAGTTCTAATAAGGAATATTTACTATTTAACTTCATTATTAAACTGTATCTGAATGTAATGTACAGGATAAAGATAAGGTGATTTTATTAAAATTATAATACAAGTAGGTATTAACATTTTACAATGAATCATAAAAACTTACAATATACTGAAATTATAATACATGAAAATAAATTATATTTTTATTACATAGTGTATAGATTCAATCTAAAACGAATAAATCTGAAGATATCGAGTTAGTACATCGTGTGGTGTATAGCCGAACGCATCACTCGTCCCGCGTCCCGCAAACTAAACTAGGTAACTAACTAATTAACTAAAAAACTAAATAGTTACTAAAAAAAATCCCACCAAAATAAAAATATTATATAAAAATAGTGTTCTGTACGAAATTTCTAAAGATGACTTGTCGGAATGGTTCGATTGTTAAGGTCAAAAGGTCGCCGATATAACTCGTCACCGAGTCGCTTATCATTGGCATCTTACAAAGATTCGGCCTTGACGGGCGGTACGAAAACTTTAGCGAAATACATATCACGACTGGCTTAAATTCTCCCCATAAAGTATACAGCATTTTTGGACTAAACCATCATCATCTTCCTACCCCTTTAACAAATTTATTTAGGGTTGGTGCAGTGAGTTTTCTTCTTCCATTCTCTTCTATTACTCCACATCCTATTTCACTCACTTTATTTCATTGCGAAATGGTTTTGACTTTTTCTTTAAAGCCGGCTGCCTGTCGCTGCCTGTCTGACACCAATTCTCGTAAAATAATAACGTGTAAAGAATAGACGGATGTGTGGTGGCGGATTAAGAATACAGAGTGTCACCACCCCTATTCATCCCATGGGTGCCGTAAGAGCCGACTAAGGGAGTACACTACGCAGGACAACAGCTCTGCAAAGAGAAGGAAAACTTAAAACAAACCCTATACCAACCCGTCTGGCCAGCTTGGCCTAGTAGGCCAAAACATGCTTTCTAAGGAGAGGCCTATGTCCAGCAGTGGACTAGTAAAGGTTGTTGACGATGAATAGAAATGTAACGATATGTTGCGTATCAAGAATAGATGTTGTTCTATAACAACTGGTTGCCATGAAATAATAAAAAATCTTTTTAGAAAACTGGTTGTGAAACATAGTTGCGATGACGGAGATTTTTTTATTTTTTTTTTGCCAATGGCAACTCGTGTTCCGGAAAAAAAATGTTCTCCTATCGCTACTGGTTGCCATGA